TTGGCAGCTCTCTTGCCACAAATTATCTGTTTTCGTCTGTTGCTCTGTTTCCGTACTTCACTGAAACACATAATCTTTTCGGTTCTTGTTTTTTTTCTGTAACATGACTGACTTTTTGTTGCCCAGCCAAGTATAAATAAACAGATTCTGTTCTTAAATATGTAAACAAAGTTTCGTAAAAAAAAAACAAAAAAAAAAAAAAACGGGCTTTTCTTTTGGAAATTTGTGAAGAAACACTGTTTTTTTTCGGGTTGCAAAAAATGTTTTATGTACTAACCTTGTATTGCAAACATTCCTGCATGAAATAGTTTTTAACCATGACTTCGTTCACTGATCAATATTCATACGTTTTGCAAAAATTATTATTTTTTACAACAGTTTGATTTTGTTTATCCTGTTTATTCAACAAAAATATCTGAGACATCGGAAGTTTTCTTCCAAATAACGGGACGTTCTGTACAAGAAACGACGTTTTTTTTTTTTTGTGTAATAAATTTCTGTTTTCTACCGGTAATACAAATATATTTAAACTATTTAGTTGCAAAACAAAAAAAAAAAATAGCAGTCCAGTGTTAATCTACAGTGCAGTCACACAGCGAATAGCTGCGGCACGTCGCGGCGAAGTCGTTGAGCATCGGCGTCGCGTTCACGTGAACAAAAGCGTTCGGAAAAAAGTGGACATCTGACCATTTTGTTCCCAACGCTTTTGTTTCTTTTTTCTTCCAGAGCCGTGAAAGTGCCTCTCTTGGCACCATCTCTTGGCAGTGACAGTGCCTCGACGGCATTAGCATTTTGCGATCGTCTATTTTTTACAGCGGAGCTGTTAAGGGCTAGTTTCCCCAGTTTCGTGTCCGTGGACAAATAAATCTCGACACAACCCTCAAGACAGCAACCGCCATCTATGAAAGAAGGTGGCAACCAAACAACCGGCTTTCCAGTTGTCTAGTTGCCACTATCGCTCATAGATGGCGGCACATAATACAGCTCCGCTGCTCTTCCTTGTTCCCCAAAATAAAAAAAAAAAAAGCTAAAAGCTTTTTTTTTATTTATTTATTTAGTTATTTAGTTTTAATCGCAGGTAGCGTGTTTATGAGCGTCGGGTACAATAAAGAAGGATTTTCTTCTTGGAGTGCGTGAGAGCGCATTTACCGGCGCTAGCAGTTGGCATTAAACGGTACATTGGCATTTTGTTATCGGCTATTTCGTCGTATTTTTTCAAAGAGCGCGTGCAGTGGGCATCACATACTACAAAAACGTTACGTATAAGACGGCTTGTTAATGCTAACGCAGTGAGGGCGCAGGCGAGCTGGTGTAAGCGGAGCTGGTGTAAGTGGAGCTGGTGTGTAAAACACCCGAGACTGGGTGTGATAATACCTTGAAACAACAGGGTGAGTGAAACATGTCTTTAATATGAAGAGGATGATCGTCTTTTGGCCGTTTGGAAGGGGGGGGGGGGGGGGGCTGAAACAACTAAAAGTACAAGAGACAGGGAAAGAAGTCAGTCAGACAACGCCTCAAACTCAACTGATAAGTTTATCAGTAATCTCTTATTTACACTTTGAAACCAAAATTCTCACCGACCAATACAGAAACAGAAATTCCTTTTTTATTTTCTATCTTTTTTTATATAAATTTTGTCTGCCGCCCATGTACACACTTATGAGAATTATGGCTATTTGTTCGGACGTAGAGTGACCGCGCAAGGTCGTGGCGTGTCGGAAGTGTGTACATAGGTGGCTGCAAAGTTTATAAAAAAAGATAGGAAAGGGAAAAGTTTTTTTTTTTTTTTTGTGTGTGTGTGTGTGTGTGTTTGTGTGTCAGTGTGATGGTTGGTGACGACCTTGGTTTCAAAGTGTATATAAGAGGTTTAGTAAAGACACTGATTTGCTGAGTTTGAGACGTCGTCTGACTGACTTCTTTCCCTGTCTCATGTGTTTTAACATAATGGCAAAATCGTTAACGTTGTGTCGTAGCTCTCTGTCAATAAAAAAATAAAATAAAAAAAAAAATAAAGTGGCGTAGCTCTGTTGTAACGCCTGCACCTCGCACGCTGCATACTCAAGCTGGATTCCTGCGGGCGGATGGGCGGTCTTTTTTGAAGATTTGGCTACATTGACGACGGATGTCATTTTCTGTGTTGGGAAGAACCCATAACATCTACCGCTGTAAAACTTGCGTTGTTGACGAATAACATAAGCTCTGTTTTTTAACCAATAAGCTTGTCTGCACTTTAATCTATAGCAGAACCGTTTCTTTATGTTTATTTACATTTTCCAGATATTTCCTGTTATATTGCAAACATTTTTTGTTTCACTGTATCGCTGTCAAAAGTTCGAATTGTTGAAACCAGCTGTATAAATTAACACACCTGCGCGAATCCCCACATAGCTCGCCTACGATCATGCTTGTGAATTGCTTCCTCCTGCTTTTATAAAGCTGCAATTTCAACGCTTATTTTTTTATCTTTAACGTAGTCGACAGCATGGAACGCTTACCGCGATGATTCGTGCAGCCAACTTGAACGTCACAAAGCGTTCCTGGCACTCGCACAAGCAGGAGTTTGACGCGACCGCCCAGAGAACTGCTGTTTTCCAGTTGACTCCCGTACATCGATGAAGAGCTCATGGCCAGATCGTCTCGGGCAACAAGGTGACCGCGATTCTTCGGGGGACATGACACTTTCTCTGGAGCAGCTGTTCCTAACACCCTCGATGTCCAGCGCTGGTGCTCGGCCCGTTACTGTCCCGAAATGGCAACATGGAGCGCCGCCACATCGACTCACTCCACAAGCGCCTGAATCCGAAACGAAAAGATTAAGATCCACCCGCACTCCTCTCGAGGACATTGGTGACTACAACGATGCTCGCTTCCCTCCGCTCTCGCAGGAAGATCGCCAATCACCCGGAATCACCGTCATGTTTCGCCCAATCTGTAAGGAACGTTCTTTCTGGAGGGTGAATCCAAATTCACTGGCGGATGAGGTTCTTGACATAGCGCAAGAAGACATACTGTCATCTAGAATCACCAAGGCCGGAAGCCTGTTAGTGACTGTTTCCTCACGTCCAGCGGCAAACAGGTTGCTCATTCAAACTCACCTCTCTGGAGTTGATGTAGAAACAGGTGTCCAAACCTGTTACTGGAATAACTTGGGAAAAATCAGAGGCGTTCCACTCGAGTATTCGGACAATGATCTGCTGGAGTACCTCAAAAAAGAAGCCGTCGTCGGTGTTCAGAGGCAGATAGCTTACGAAAGGCACGGAGACGGCAGTTCAACGCCGCATTTCCAAGGCAGCGTGATTCTCAGCTTCGCGCGGTGCATCTCGATGCCCCATCGTGTACGCTTGGGGTTTACGAGTTACTTCGTTGAAGAGTATTTCGGGAGCCCGGTGCGGTGCTTCAAGTGTCAGCGGTTCGGTCATATTGCGAGAAACTGTCGATTCGCCCGTCAGTGCAAAGTCTGCGCTGGCCCGCATTACCAGAACGAGTGTACGTCCCGTTCCGAACCCCGATGCGCCAACTGCGGAGGTTCGCACACAGCGACGTTTTCGGGCTGCCCTCGCAAATTGTCTGCGGCTGCTCTGAGGAAGGAGCAGATATTAAAAGGACGACGGCTTACTTCGAAGGACGCCCACACACCCGATGTACGCGGAGAGATAGAGGACGCAACGTCAGAACTACCGGGTGTCGGGCAGTGGAACAACGCCACCGTACCAAGAGTGCAAGGGTCACCCGCTGTTTCCGCGTCGCTCGCCCCAAACGCACCCGAGCAGACGGGTTCGCTTTCTCCCGCGGAGAGTCGGTCTTCCCAGCCCTCAGAGGTAAAAAAATAAAACAGCCATTCACGCGGATAAGAGAGTACATGCGTGGGCGAACAACAAATTGAGAAACAGTAGCTAGTGGACTGCCGGTTGTGGCACTGCCGACCAAACATTTCTTTTACTCACTAATATATCGATTATACAGGGACAGTCTTTCTGTAATACTCGTTGTTTCGTTGTGATCGCACATGCTCTATGGCGCCGCGAGCTTTTCTGCGGAAACACTCCGGGGGAAGGAACGAAGGTGTTTTAAACTCTGTCGCGCTGCTAATACCTCGAACAAGAGACAGTCTCCAGACATGTTGCAAGCATGCACTAAGCAAAATGTGCTTCGAACATGCGTGTCCGGGGATATTTGGCATCATGTCTGCAGGCTGCAGCGTGTCTTTAGTACGACGTATACAGAAGTATGCGACTTTATACGCAGCTGTTTCTCCGAGCATATATGCCAGTTTTCGGTTTATATACTATATATGCCGTACGTGCATCGGAGAAGTGCTTTAATTCATGACCGAGGTCGCAGGGTCGTGATTGGTAAATGGAGAAAGATGCTCGCTAGTATAATCGCGTCATCTTGTCTATACTGTCATTTCGGGATTACGTTTCGCTATGATCACTGTCAGTGGAAGAAAGGCAGGTCGTGACAAGTCTCGAGTAGGTTATCGCTGCGCAGTCAACAAAAAAATATTCGTGACATCGGATGTTAAGAAGCCAAAGAACGAATCACAAAGCAAGGAGAGCGATCATGAAAGGCCAGACTAAATATGACGATAACGCGAGTGGCTGTACGGCATAAGTGATTTTCCAGTGAACGGTTAACATTAAATCTTCGATAGACACTTTCAAAAGTCAATCAAGCTACAGTGGGGAAAAGAAAACGGGGGCGAGGGGGGTTCTGCCATAGTTTGGGCACTGATTCCTGCGCGAAGCGTGTGGTCGGATCCCAGTTCACGCCGAGCACTGACACGGCACTCTTGTCAATACGTACTTGAGTGCGTGCCTAAAATATGGCGGCTTCGGACTAAGTACTGCAATGCGCTCACTTTGGAAAACGATCTATGGAATCTTAACACGTTAATCTAAAGGAGAAAGGTCACATGCATTTGCATGCATTCCGGTCGCATCGGAACGTCGGAGCATAGACGCGGACCTCGGGTATGGCCCCGATGGGCCGATATCACTGGCGAAGAAACAGCAGCAGTATAGCACTTGGAAAGTCGGCATCTGTTCTACCTCACATTTAAAAAAAAGAAGAAAGAAGTCATTGCGGATTATATAAAAATACATAAAGTTGACTAGCACTCGAGCAACTTTACCTCGTCGCGGCAAAACTAACTAACATTTCGTCTGACTTTTTTCTCAGTTCTTCTGTCGCTCTCTTTCTCGTTTTTTCTCTGGGAACCGCCGATGTCAGCACCCAAGATTTGCCGCGTTCTGCTCCCATATCACTACCTCTCTACTATTGAACGGGCGGCTGCTTGTATTCCTCACGTTCGTTTGGGCATAGTTGAAGTATATACATATACCCGGGAGAAGGTGCTATTGTCGCTGGCAGGTTAATAAACGCAGAGTGGGTTATTATGTTTGCGCTTTCCGCTTCGTGATTGCTTCTTCGGCGCCTTTGTCCGCTAATGCCGCAACCTCCTTGGTTGCTCAGCGAGTAGAAGGTGTATGCGACTCAGTCCCTCCTGCGTTTGTTATGGTGTCAGTGACTGCAGAGGTGGAGATACTTCTTGGGTTCACGAAAGCGGAAATGTGCGTCCTCTTCGCGGAACCTAATAAAGGCTCTATAACACCGGTGAGTGCTAGACTCATCCTTCATGAAGGTACTCGAGTCCTATCGGAATCGGTCGGACTGCAGTAACGTTTATCGTGTTGTTGGTTTCCCGCAGCAACGACTGTTGACAGCGCCACCCCGTTTTGCGAAGGGCGGCTCGTCGGCGGGAAGGTTTCGAGTCGACGCGATCCGACAGTTCCTCGTCGACCGCTACCTCGAAGACTGCTGCGAGTGGCCCTGCGGCTCGATGAAGGTCTCGGTCCGGATCCGGGGCGAGTGGCTGGCAGTGCCATGCCGCGACGGCCGCCAGACGGTGCAGTGGTTGGGCGAGGAAGCACTGCGCCGGTACGTAAAGCTGCAGCCCTCCTCGTACCTAGACGGCCGCTCCGAGAAGATCTTCGAGATCCGCAAGACCAGGGGAGGCGCCATCTTGGACGGAGAGGACGTCATCAAGAACGTCCTGGACGACAACGAGTTTGTCTCTGTCGGTACGCATGTAGGCCAGCGCACACGTTTACAAAACGAGTCCGCGTTTGCACGCACCAGGTGCGGGCACTGCGCACGCGCAGAAACCGATATCACGTGATGTGAAGTTTCGGCGCACGCACCGTGGCAGCGCGCCACCGAAACGGTGTGACGTCATGGGCGCGCGTTGGTATCGCTGACAACTCGAGGAACACAGGGCGCGTCGAGCCCCGAGCGCCTAATTATCACTCCACTGTCAGCAACGTTCAGACACCAGCCGATAGGGACGCCAAAGAACGAATTCCGAAGCAAGAGGCGCGATTATAATTATAGGCCACGCCCTACGCTTCTTCGGCTGTTGGTGACTTAGAAGCGCCCGAAATATTCACTTATCTATTCGGCGTCCAGTTTTTAATCGGCACCACAGAACGCGTCCCCGACCGGTGTGTTCAGCCGCGTCCTATATACCGCCCCCATGCATCAAAAGTGGTCGTCAAGGGACAACAAATTACGCCTGTAAAGTTGCGCCGGATGTCGCGATCCTGGCGGTTGTTCGAAGAAGTTTCGACAGATACGCACGAGCAAAACTCGAGTGTCGCTGTCGTCCTCGTGACGTGCCAATCTCCCGGCCTCCGAAGCTACCGTGGACTGCCGAGCTGGAGCGCGGAGCAGAACGGGCGTACGCCGCGTCCCACATCCGCCACTGTACTTTTACCGAGATCGCGGCAGGCAACGCCATGAGACTTTTAAGATGCTGTCGAGCGGAAATCGAGGGACCACATTCGAGGACGCGGTAAAGGTTCCAGTCGGATGCGGGTTCGAGGCACCAGAGTTTTACTTAACTTCACACAAAAGACGGTCTACAGACACAGTCTGTTTCTGCCTTGCCGTGTCACATTGGTTATACAAAAGCTGCCTGCAGACATGGTCGATATGTACGAAGCAAACGTGTTTCGAACATCTTTGGGGCGTGGCCGCAGATAATTATGTTAACGTGTCTGCAACAAGAACAGCGTCTTTCGTACGATGGATGGGCAGCCCGAATGCGGCGTTAGACAGTCTGCTCCTGGAGCGTGAGGACCGGAGGGGCTACCAGGGTCTCTATACTCCTTGGTTAAAATGTCTACATTAAAGCAGCTCGTTGCTTTAGCTTCGGTAGTTCTATTTTATAACGATAATTTGAACTAAATGTTCGACACCCTTAATCTGGGTTCAGCTAGAGCCATAGCCAGGACAAGCTAGATGCAACTTGTCTCAGCTTTTTTATGAGGCCCTTTCGTCGCAAATTCGTTTAACCAACCAGCTGTAGCCGGCCTTTTTCTATCAGAAAACACTGTCCTTGGGAAATGCGTTAGCCTGACCCTTGGGGAACGCCACACACGTCCCACTTTGGGAAACGCTAACACACTCTAAAAAAAAGCCCGTGAGTCTGCTTTCCCGCACAACACTCGGAGAGCCAATCACCGCAACTTACGGAGGCAGCTCAGCGAATGACAATGCCGAAACATATGTTTAGACCAAAAAACGCAGACTGAGTTGTGATGAGTTGCAATGCAAGCGTGACGTTTTGCATTGCTTAATGTCACAACTCAGACTGCGCTTTTTGGTATAAACATATGTTTCGGCATTGTCATTCGCTGAGCTGCCTCCGTAAGTTGCTTTGATTGGCTCTCCGAGTGTTGCGCGTGAAAGTAGACGCACAAACCTTTTTTAGAGTGGTGCACTGACCCCTTCACTTTTCTGTTTTGGCTTTCCCTTTTGCTTTCGCTATTTTTTGCTGCCTCTTTTTGGCTTCGTTACGGGATGAGCGTTAGCGTTTCCCAAAGGGGTACTTGTGTGGCGTTTCCCAAGGTGCATGCTAACGCATTCCCTAAAAATCCACCGATGGATCTTCTTTTTTTTTTTTTTTTTTTTTTTGCCGTTTTCTCGTTTGCCCGCCTTGCACATTTAGCAGCGGCATCCGCAGCCTGACGCTGTTTCGCTGTTCGCCGGTTTCGGCAGCCCGTCTCCTTAGTTCACAACCCGTCTTTTTTTTTTTTTTTTTACCGTTTACTTGGATTAACGCTAGTACTTGGTTTACACTCCGTTTTGTAGCACAAATCAAGGCATAAGCACTCCGCACACTTGCAGTTCAGACTCGCCCCAGCATCTGCGCGCGCATTGGCTTCCGCCCCATCGACGTCGTCTCCCTCTCGCCTTTGTCCTTCACTACTCTCCTCCTCTCTTCCCTTTCCACTATTCTGTCCACGGACTCACGCCGTCAGGTTTTCCCTGCCATATGGGTACTAAGGCTAACGCATTGATATATAAAAGTTGAGTAGGCTTTATTTTATACACTACTCAGATTTTCCTCTGCCTGCTGTTGATCTGCTTACGTAACTTTATGATTTAATGGTCAGAAGTCGAACAAATATGTATCGATAAACGCCGGAGCTCAGAAAGCGTGCTTTGTTTGATATAAGGTCGCGAGACTGCCTCTATCTGAAACTGCAACCCTCAAATAATGGCGCCATTATGTCCCTGGTTCGTACTTGACCTGTTTCTTGCCACCTGTTTCCGATACACGGTTGAACCGCACGGGCATTGTGGCAAGCCAGAGGAGCAGTTGTTTTACAAATATTATTATAAGGTTGTATCTATCCACAAAACAGGCAAGAGGTAGCCGAGTGGCTGAGAGGTATACGTTCGAGAAAGTTCCATTTCCTGGCATACGCACTCAGAAATAATTGTACTCCTCGTATCACGAGGATTCAGTGCGAGATGTGTTTCAAATATTGAAAACATGCTATAAAGTAAAGCCGTCACTTTCACTTTTGTCTTTTTTCTCCCCTCTTGAAGGAGTAACCGTTAGGAGTTCTGCTCTGGTTAAGTTCCCCGTTCTTCTTCATCTAATAAAACAAAACAAAAAGTTAAATATTATGTGCCTCTTGTGTCCCGTAGAACAGGCGAAAATGGAATCACTGCAACGTACACAGGAAGCTCGACCAATGACAAAATCTGCCCCAAACATTGTTTGGCTTGAAAATACAATCTGCACAAGTACAGTGCGAATTTCAAATATCATGCATACAATATTTTTTTGTATAGTTCCCATTGAAGAAGAAAAAAAACGCGTATTTGCAGTAATTGTCACTCCACGGGCTCTCCCGGAAGTTGATGCGCAGAAAATGTGTTTAGGATATCGTTAAGTTTCTTATCATTTTTATCTCATTTTTATCCCAACAGTTTTGGACACTGACAGGCCTTCGCCAGTGCTGGGCCCAGCGGAAATAACGTACATTCCAGAACAAGTGTATCCTTTGTAAACACCCGTGTTGGGGGCGCAAAAAAACTGACGATAAGTTGTACAGACATGAACACACATAGAAAAACAAAAAAACAAAACAAAAAAAACTAAAATATTTACGATGCTTTAGAACGTGTGCCAAACTGATCAAATGGTTATTCCTCCCGGACTACACCATCAAAAAAAGGGCCTTACACCCTTTCGTCCCATGTAATGCACCCAAAACCTTTAGTTCGATGGAGAGCGCACTATAGTCGAACAGACGGCCCCACATTTCACGAGGGGCTTGATAGTGGTGCGATATAACTTATTAAATAGATAAAGTACGTATCAAAGACCACAAATAAGAAAAAAGAAAACTGAGGTTTTTGCAGTAGGGATTTCCTTCACAGTAGAATGATTTATCAAGTCCTGGAAAGTTCAAGGCTCCATCTCAGGTAAGATTTCCTTCCGCACGCGTTCAGTTTGTCGCCGAGAACTCATAAAAAGAGGGAATAGCTAGCTTTGAGAATCACAGCGAGCGATTGTGCACTCTAAGAAATATAAGAAGCCTAGGGCCCTAAACTCGTCGATCACAAAGTTGGAGCCGAAAGTTCGCGGAGCGCGCTGATTGGACGCCGGCGGAAAAAGCGCGAAGTCATCGCCGGTATAGTCCAATCGGCGCGCTCCGTGAACTTTGGCCCCAACTTTGTGTTTGACGAGTTTAGGGCCTCTGGAGCGCCTCCATTTCCACAAAGCATCTGGGAGAGCCAATTGCTGAGGCCTGCAGGGGAGCAAATGACAACGCTGAAAACATGTCTAGACTAAAAAATAAAACAGTTTCCGCTGCGCCACTGAGCATGACGCTTCACCAATGCTGTGCAAACAGTTTTTGTTTTCTCATAAATATCAGTTGCGAGTAGGCGCTTGTGTGTTGTATCTGCCTCTTTTTTGTCCAGTCCTTTATGCGCTGTTTTGTTTTTATTAGTTTTTTTTTGGAGGGGGGGGGGCAATTTATTTTTTTGCCTCGTCACTCGCCGAGTTCAATCCGTAGACTACAGTGATTGGCTCGTGCAGGCGTTTTGCGGGAAAGTTGACCGACTGAATTTTTTAGCGTGCATACTGTCGAGCGTGATGTTCGTATTACTAGAAACCTTTAGCAAACCGTTGCCGTGCTCCACGTACCGCACTACCGGAGCCTTTGAAGCATGCTCTTAAGCGCGCGCCCCGCAATCACAGTACCGCCCGGGCGCGCGCTTAAAAGCGTGCTTCAAAGGCTCCGGTAGTGCGGTACGCGCAGCACGGCAACGGTTTGCTGAAAGTCCCTAATATCGCAAGACGAAATAGTTTAAAAGCAGTAGAATGAGTAAGGTATTGAAGGAATGAGCATTAGGACGGACTAAACTCACTGGATCCTGGGAAAGTAGCGCTATTGCCTTCCCTACCTGCTAGCCGGACACAAACGGATACTAACATACAGACGACCAAAACATCGAAAGGCGATTGGCTAATCAGTCTACATTGCCATGGAAATCGCCATTTCGGTTCATTCAAATCTTCGAAGTTTTCAGAGGGTCGTTCTAAACCAGTCGCGCCAAATCACCATGGAGCATCATCGTACAATGGAAGCGTCTCTGGCCAATATAAGCGTCTTTGGCACTGTGTATGCAATCAACTTTTCAATCTTGCCCATCTGCACGGATTTCTTACAATTATATTGTTCTTCTTGCGTATTTTGAAACAGTGAACTTATTTTTCAGTGCCTCTAAGCACCGACACAGCATGTGGTGGTGGTACGAAGATGTGCGCTTGTTTCGCCAGTGTGTGGATAGCAAAATCTCGGTATCCAAGAAATGTCTCCGTAAAGCTACCCGTCACCAGCGAATTTAGATCGGCTTTTGTTTATATATATAGTCAAAGGAGGGGGGGGGGGGGGGGGGGGGGGGGAGGTCTTTAGCGTCGATGTCAGGCGAAACGATTTTTTTTTCTTGTTTTCTACACCCCACGGCTCCATTCTAAATATTTCTTAAAAAAAAAAAAAAAAGCTTAGGCTAATGCTTCTTTCCCCCCCCCCCCCCCCCCACACACACACACACAATAAAAAAGAACAAAACTGGCTACGGACGAACACAACGACACGGAAGATGTGTCGTCGTGTCCGTCCCTATATTTATTCTTTCAGTGACGTGTAATTATACCAACCATCATCTGAACCTGTGGAACGAAGTCAAAGTCTGTGTACTGTGCTTCTCAAACTGCCAAAGCAAAGGTAAAGAATTTTGTAATGTCAGTATTATCATTTCCCAGATCATGACGATCGACGGCAACAACCTGACGCCGGAAGACCTTCTCGAACTCAGCAAGGGCAAGTACAGAATACAGGTCAGGACACCTTACTACGCGTCGGGCTTTGAGACACGTTTTACAACCGAAAGCACATCCTAAAATATGACGAGGAGTCTTTCACTGTAACCCCCTAAAAGTGTCAAAATGTCTCTTCTTTTTCTCAGCTGAGCAGCGACTCGCTCGACCGAGTTAAGAAAGCGAGAGAAATGCTGGAAGCCATTCTAAAGGAAAACAAAGGTAAAAGCCGAAACAAACATCATCATTGTTCCTGCGCCATGTCTGTCGAAAGTTCCTGAGCGCATGTAGCACCGAGTTGCACCGAGAACACCGAGCATTTGTCTTTCTTTAATTATTTACACCAATGAGAATAACTGTCAGTTTTATGTCCTTCAGCTTAAGTGGCTATGGCCATAGATTAGTTTATAATCGGTGACAGGTTAATAGTTCAGGTCCCCCCACCTCTTTCCACCTTAGCGAGCGAAAGCTGGAGAGGAGGCGACCGTTCACTTTGCCAAGGTGGAAAGAATGGGAAGGAGCTTTCCCTGCTCTCTTTAACCGGTCACCGACTAATTAAAAAGTGAGAACGTTTTTTTTTTTGTTTTTTTTATTTATGCAGATTATCAAGTTTTAGTGCTTGGGGTTGGGCTAGTAGTTGGTTTTTCATGCTTCGATTAAACTGTGTCGCGAAGAATTGCAAATAACGACACTGAGACTAGAAAAACGAGGCGACATACACAACAAGCGCAACCTAATTAATATTTATTTTTCGTTCCACACAAAGGCGGGAGAAACAAGCGAAAATAGAGAGGAAGAGGAAAGAAAATGGGGAAATAAACAGTTCATAGAGACCTTTCCGAAAAAGAGCGTCTGGCCGGTAACCGGTGCCATCAAGAGTGTCCGCGCGTATGGCGCGTGCTTTGCTCGCTTTTCGAAGCGACGAACACGCACGTGCTGGGCTGTGAAGATCGCACGCTGGACTGTGATTTCGTAAACATTGGAAAGGTCTATAGTTTCCACGGTTCGCGTCACTGATCTCTGTGACAATTTGCTAGATCGCGCTACAATGCCGCCTCGAATGCGGCCACCAAGCGTGCGAAGGCACAGAGACGCACGCCTTCGTCGTGCCAAAGCTTGTCCTCCTTTGATCACACCGCCTGACCGCGAGACTTGCTTTCGACGAGTTGTGCTTTTTTTGCTGCGGTGCTGCCACTTTCATAGATTCCGTAAGAATTTCCACAGGTTCTCAAAGGCAGCTACGGCCGTTTACAAATGGTTTTCAGAAACATTTTAAGGAAATTACGGCGAACGAGCAGAGAATACGTCTTTCGGCCCGCAGTCGCCCAGCCTCTTGCAACGCTTCACCTGGCAGACTTACACAGGCCCAAGACGACCGATTTTGAACTTCGGGAGGGTGCACTTGCGCTGCAGCGACCCAGCGTGCATGTGCAATCCAGCACATCATCATAGAGACTCGTGGGTTGCGCTTGCTTGTGTATGTCGTCGTTTTTCTGGGCTCAGTGTCATTATTCGCAATCCTTGACAGCGCAGTTTAATCAAATGAACTTCTGTGTCAGATAAGTTTCTTCGCCCAAACAAAACCCTGAATGGGCTGTCAGTTTATCGCAAAACACAGTTTTTTTCTCCTTCGGGAAAAAATAAGGTTTATAAGAAGAGTATTGAAGTAGATCATTATGTAGAATACCCGAGACAGTGGTAAAAACAGGTATTCTACATCATGATCAACTTCCACCAGCTCGCCTGCGCACTCACTGTTTTTTCATTGAAGTAGGATAGCTCCGTATTTTGTGATTGCCTTGATTTATCTCCAAAACTCATTTTCCTTTTTTTTTCTTCTTTTTTTTGTTTGGAAAGGGGGGAGGGGAAGAGGAAGGGGAAGGGGGGGGGGGGGTACGTTTCCCTGCGTTATGGGGGATCATTGTAAAGTTGGAGATTATAATTCGAGTGTGCGCAATATAAGAATAAAAAAATAGCATTTTGCTAGTATAGAACATACTTTGTTTCTGTTCAAATTTGTTTTAGAGAAAAATGTATTCATTTTACAAAAACAAACATGTATTTGTGAAGATATGCGAACGCGTTAAACGCCTTACAATTGTAATGTTTTTTACTCGACAGTGGCCTACGGTCTAAACACTGGATTCGGAAAGTTCGCAAGGGTCGTCATTCCGGATCACAGTCTTCTGTAAGTTTCGCAAATATCATATCTTATGGTCATTGAGTTGCTCTCAAAGCACTCTTTAACCATAAAAAAAGATAACGATCAAAGAAGATTTGAGATCAGGTAAAGTTTGATCGTACTGTGCTCATTGTGTTATCTTTATCCCCAGGGAACTCCAGGAAAATCTAGTACGATCTCACTCAGCTGGTAAGTTATCTTTAAGGCTGTACAAACCGAACAAAAACCATATTTCCACAAGTGAGGCAAAAGAAAAAAAATTTGTGCGATGTCCAGATTGGTGTTACCATTAACAAAAAAAAAAAAAGTAAATAATAAGATGTGCCAAAGGAAACGTATACTGAAGGAGAACGCTCCCTAAAACAAATGTTTTTTGTTTACAACTACGAGCATTGTGTACATATAAAAGGGCAAAATCACCCCTATCTCACAATAACACTCAGAGACTCTTCTGCTAAGGCAGGACGATGCTGACTACAGCCTTTATTCTAAGCCTTTGAGTACCGAAGACTACCAATAATCCTTATCAGAGTTCAGCTCGTCATTCGGGTACATTCTGTCACGAGTGATGAGCTCCGCTTCGTCTGCTTGAAAACCTTCAGGTGTGGGGAATCCATTGACCCCGGAAAAAACCCGGATGTTACTGGCTCTGCGGATCAACGTGCTCGCCAAAGGCTACAGTGGCATCTCTACAGAGACCTTGCTACAACTCGTGGACGCTTTTAACGGTAATATACCTGGTCTCACATATCATATACCTAGTAACTGATACATCGCTTCATATTGCACAGAACTTCTGTTCAATGCATTTTTTCCCCGGATACCGTGAAAGAAGACGGCGCTAAATTCTGTCGTTTGTAGTTGTAGCTGCATACATATAGTCTATCGTGGAGTTGCACAATTTAGAGTACAAATAATTTTAGTTTGAATTACCAAACGATTATAAAGACGTCTTGTGAACGAAGCAAAATGATGTTTTAATATGGCACCGCTTTGACTGGCAAGCAGACATGCAGGCTGGCGCGATAGTATACTTGAATTCCGCAGCGTCGACTCGGAAAGAAAATATCTAACGCTATTCTTTTACATAAACAAATATTATTTTTTTAATAACGATTTGATTGTGGGCTGTACAATATTGATCATCAGTGACGTCAGGCTAGGCGTAGCTTCACGTTGTCTCACACTGTAGCCTTACACAAAATATTATGTGTGCGACTTCAGTTCACTGTGAATGGTTCAGAAAACGCAGCAAGGTCAAACATATTTTATTCACAGTTAGTAGGGCTGGACAATTGATCGACTGACCTACCGATTAATCGGTTAATGCTTTAGTCGCGACTAATTTTTTAACCGGCCAATCGGTAAAACTTTGACGAACCAAAATAAAATAAACAATTTAATTCTTTCACCACGCAGACATGGTTCAGCGCACCTATATGGAGGGAATATTTTAGGTACAATTTTAACGTAAACTGTGTAAGGGCGTGATTTGTAACTCCAGACGAGGTGTAGACGGCTACACGCGCCCCGTCCGCTTCAACACCGTGCGAGTGCCTGTATAGCGCAGCACATAGCAATCAGAGGAGGCCGCTCTTGCCGGAGAGTATCAAAGAACCGCTTTGCCTCATGCAGCTAAAGTAATAGCTGTGAATTGCAACAAAATGGTGAGTTGGGCCAGTTGGTTCAAAATGGAAAAAGACAAGCGCCGAAAGACCAGGACAAGGTAAGAAGACGACAACACAAGGCGCCTTGTGTTGTCGTCTTCTTACCTTGTCCTGGTCTTTCGGCGCTTGTCTTTTTCCTAATAGCTGTGAATGTGTTTTTTATAACTGTTCTCAAATACGTATCGAAGTTGATTCATAATTGAAATTATTGCGCCGTTTAACACATATTCATAAGCATAAAAATAACTAGTTATGATTTTGAGTTAAAAATATATTATGCATGAAAATTAACGAGACCAATTAATCGATTAATTAATCGATTGAAGGGTATCCGATTAATCGGGCTGAAATTTTTAATCGAGGTTAGCCCTAAATTACGTAGTACAGTCTAAAATAAGCCCGTGCGTCTACTTTCCCGCACAACACCCTGAGAGTCAATCACTGCAACTTACGGAGGCAGCTCAGCGAATGACGATGCCGAAACATATGTTTAGACCAAAAAACGCAGACTGAGTTGTGACATTAAGCAATGGAAGCGTGACGTTTTGCATTGCCTAATGTCACAACTCAGACTGCGTTTTTTGGTCTAAACATATGTTTCGGCATCGCCATTCGCTGAGCCGCCTCCGTAAGTTGCGGTGATTGGCTCACCGAGTGTTGCGCGGAAAAATAGGCAGACGGGCTTTTTTTTTTTTTTTTTTTTTTTTTTTTTTTAGAGTGTTGTTTATTTTTGGGGTTTAAGACCAAATAGAGGACATACAACCAAAATATTACATTTCTAGACTGTTTTTTCTTAAAGTCGACTAATATGTCTAAAAGAATTTAAAAAATAAAAATTTACAAAAATGGGGTTTTTGAGAAAATCGACCTCAAATATTCAACATGTGTTATTTCTTACAACGTTTACGTGAAGGTAGCGGACCGGCTAGTCTAGAGATCATAATGATATTATTATATCTATAATGGGCTTGATTTGGGCTTTCTGTAGAGCCAAAGAAAGAAAATTTACCTTAAGAACAGACAAAGTAATGACCTGTCAAATTTGACCAAAAAGCGACCGGAGTGACGAGTTTGACATGTTTTTTAGAAAACAATCGAATTTCTAAAAATATTTCAATGCGTCAAGGTATCTTTATAATACCCATTGAATGAGGGGAAAAAGTTGAAAAGGGGTAGAAAAAACACTAGCGCCAGCAGAGGGTGTCAAACACACGACCTGTGACGAAAGGCAAAAACACTAGTTTCTGCCACTGCGGCTTCTACGGCTCGTAACTCGAGAACAAAAAATCTGGCGAACATGCGGTTTGCGCCCTCCTTCATTTTAGAAATGACCCCAAAACATATTTTTTTTTCGTGAAAATTAAAAATTAGACCCTTTTGGCCTGCCCGATTTGAGATGAAAACACCCATAATATATACACACACACACACACACACACATATATATATATATATATATATATATATATATATATATATAGCAAATATTGCAATAACATCTCCCCGCAAATAAAAAGAAAAAATATATATATATATATTTCTTCTTTTTTTTCTTTTTTTGCGGGGAGATGTTATTGCAATATTTAAGTCGTTAACGGTATAGATAACTTATACTTTGCATAAATACCACTTAGAATGAACCCCTGAGGTTTATAACCCATGAAACGCACGCTCGTTTTTCTCCTCCTACAATAATAATCGCAAAAAAAACATCTCTTTTTTTTTGTAACTTTTTATATATTTATTATATTACAGTCGTCAAATACAGAAGTTAGAACAAGCGGCCACGTGATCTGGAGGCGATTAAATGCCGCCAGTGTTTATCATAGCCACGCACTGGGCTTGGCAAAGCACAGGATACGGGCTGAATTCCAGGCGTTGTTAGGGTTCGGCGACTGTCGTCATTGAAGCGATTGGACAAGAACCACTACCCAAATGCTTGTCGAATTACTGATTACCGCGAGCCCAAATCGAGTGCTCACGCAACGCTCGAGCTCAATCTATGAGCCGCATTCAAATATTGTCACCGGGGGACTGTATGTATATCGTCACTGAGGGACACTGCGATCTCCAAACTACGTCATCAAGTTTTGCGAAGGAGAGGTTGAAAGAAAACGCTCGCTTTTATCCTTGAAATTACACCGCAACAATGAAGTTTCCTGGTCAAAGACGTTGCGTGCGAATATACTTGGGTTCCACTAGTGCCAGTAAGCTCGTTGCACCACAGCAAAGACTAGAAGCCCAAGCTCGTAGCATTGGCAGTTGCGCCTGCTGCGCGAGAGTTCTTGCAGCCGAAGTGCGCCGAAGTACAAAGGAGCTCGCGCTGCGGTACATCTTAAGGTGAAACGCAGTTTAGTGCACGACGAGAAGTTAATTCTTTTGGCAGAGCTAAGCGTTCGTTGGGTGGTCCGCAGCATCGTGCCTGTCCTGGGTGCCCGAGCAAGGCACCGTGGGCGCCAGCGGAGACCTGGCTCCCCTGGCACACCTGGCGCTGGGGCTGATCGGCGAGGGAAAGATGTGGAGTCCGGAGACTGGCTGGGGAGACGCCAAATATGTGAGTCACTTTGCCAGTGTACTCGGAGGTTGCGCACAGGAGCCACTGATCGCTTCGGCGCTGACTGTACCTCGACGTTCGCAGGTTCTGGAGTCACACAAGCTCACACCAATCAAGCTCAAGCCCAAAGAGGTACTGTACTTCGTGACATTCCGTGTTGTGTGATTTTTGCTTATCGGTAAACACTACCTACCATCGCGTTCAGTCGACCTCAGCAATGCTGGGGAATACAGGGAGTTTCAGAAAAACGAGAACCGTGTTTTTCGGCGAGGGTAAATAAACTAAGCATCACAGGAAGCTCAAACTCCGCGAGAATGTGACGCTAGCGGTTAGGATAGAAAGCGAAAGTTTGAGAACATGACGTCACCTTGATAAAAAGATAATCGAGAAAAAGGAAATTTCTGTATGAGCCGAACCCTAACATCGTTAAAACCAGAAATGACGCAGTGGGAGTATGTTGCATCTATATCAGTGAACAAAGCTTCACAGCAAGAAAGAGTATCTTGTATTATTTCTTGCTGACAAGTTTTTTTCACTGAAATACCGGGTGTCCCAAGTAGCGGCCAGGCTCTTTAAATCGACCGCAAAATTCGGTTTCTTAACCTACCGCGCTACGATTTTGTGCAACGTTGCCCACAGATGGTGCATTTTCTTTTTTTTTTTTTGTAAAATTTGCAAAGAGCGAACTTACTTGAGGAAAAAGTAAAGAAAGAAAAAGGCTTAGCTCCTACGGAAACACAGCAAAGCCATCGGTCTTCGAACAATACGGCGACGCTTCGCACGGGAGACAAGAGATGGCGGAAGCGGCCGCGATGCCAACTGCCGCCAACGAACGAGCATACGGCACCGAGAGCCGGCGTCTTTAGCAGACGATCTTTTCGACGTGATGGCATAATTTTCTGGGGACACGCCTGGTTCTTCATACATGTTTCGAACGTTTCTGAAGACAGTTTTTGTGTGACCAGTGTTACCGTCATACAAGAAAGGAAAACATGCATCAGGCACTGTCTGCAGACAGTCTTTTGCATGATGAGCGTAGTGACCGCGGCTTATGGTGCACGTCTCATTCTAATTGACCTCCTCCTTGCGTTCATCTCGTAGGGGCTCTGCCTCCTGAATGGTACACAGCTCATCACGTCCATCGGAGCGGAAGGCAAGTGATAATAGCGCGCCATGTAACTACGTGTGCAAGTCCTATACGGACTTCCCTTGTGTATATAAGCGGGCACGCTGAGTTGTCCTCCTGTCCTCTGAAGACGGTTCTTGGTATCCCTTGTGCAGCCGTAGAGCGAGCAACCATCTTAAGCCGACAGGCCGACGTCGTGGCGGCCTTGACACTGGAGGTTCTCAAGGGCACAACCAGGGCGTTTGAAAGCGGTGAGTTGCTCACGTATGTAATGGGTGTTTTTGTTTTAGGCTTCACAGATTGTGTCTCTAAAAAAGCTGTGAAAGCTACACAAATGCGGTGTGTGCAGGTAAGTTATACGGACCGTGGGACATAATACAGAAAACGACTCGTCACAATATGCCAAACAACTGAAACTTGTTAATTAACTTTTTTTTTTTTTTCAATCGCAGAAAAGTAAACATTGGTTTCAATGTCTGAGCCTGTTTCATGAGTGTTAACGTTAGCGCACCTCCGCGCTTCCCAAATCATTCAATATCTTACTAATTTAGTGGTTTTCGACAGTGTTGAATAAAGTATATCTAAAAAGTACTTGAAGTAAAGCACAAAGTAAATAAGAGGTAATGTACTTCAAGTAACGCAGGAAGTACATCGGGCGCAATGTACTTCTACAGGTTTTCCCGCTCATTTTAATCCAAGCGACGACCAATTTAATCCCGGGGTCACTCAATTTAATCCAAGCGCCATACAATTTAATCCAAGCGCCACACAATTTAATCCCGGGGTCAGTCCATTTAATCCACAATATATATATATATATATATATATATATATATATATATATATATATATATATATGCGCTCATTGGGGTGTTCAGTGGTCGTGTTTTGCTTACACATTTGGCAACTTAGAATATTTGTTTATACAATTTGATTTTTGGGGGGCAATTGAGAATTTGATCACTAATGTGATTACTTTGAGTTACTAGTCCCACTATTGACGAGGCTTAACTGATATGTTGGTTACTCTTTTTAGAGTGCAGCTCTTAGGCACCCGTTTCCAACTTAAGCGGCGCCGGCGTCGCCGCCGCCGTCGGCGTAACCACGCGGTGAATGATGGGTAAATTCCCCCGCTAAATTTAGCGGAAAAATTTCCCTGCTAAATCTAGCGGAAAACTTTTCCTGCTAAATCTATCGAAAAATTTTCCCAGCTAGATTTAACGAAAAATTTGCCCCGCAGATTCTAGTGGAATATTTTCCCCGCTAAGTCTAGCAGAAAAGTGTCCCCGCTAAATCTAGTGTAAAATTTTTCCCGCTAAATTCAGCGGAAACTTTTTTCCCGCTAAACCTAGCGGAATGTTTTCCCCGCTAAGTATAGCGGAAAATTTTCCCAGCTAGATTTAGCGGAAAATTTGCCCCGCAAAGGCTAGCGGAAACGTTTCCCCGCTAAATCTAGTGGAAATTTTTTCCCGCTAAATCTAGCGGAAAATTTTCCCCGCTAAATCTAGCGGAACAATTTACCAGCTAGATTTAGCGGAAAAGTTTTCCCGCTGTCTTGCGGAAAATTCTACCAGCAAAATCTAGTGTAAAATTTTTCCCACTAAATTTAGCGGAAACTTTTTCCCGCTAAATCTAGCGGAAAGTTTTCCCCTCTAAATCTAGCGGAAAATTTTCCCAGCTAGATTTAGTGAAAACTTTGCCCAGCAAAGTCTAGCGGAAAAGTTTTCTCGCTAAATCTAGTAGAAAAATTTTCCCGCTAAACCTAGCGGAAAATTTTCCCCGCTAAATCTAGCGGAAAAATTCCCAGCTAGATTTAGCGGACAATTTTCCCCGCTAAGCCTAGCGGAAAATTTGCCCCGCTAAATCTAGTGTAAAATGTTTCCACTACAATTAGCGGGAAAATTTTCCCGCTAAATCTAGCGGGAAATTTTCCCAGCTAGATTTAGCGAAAAATTTGCCCTGCAAAGTCCAGCGGAAAAGCTTCCCCGCTAAATCTAATGGAAAATTTTTCCCGCTAAATCTGACGGAAAATTTTCCCCGCTAAATCTAACGGAAAAATTTCCCAGCAAGATTTAGCGGAAAATTTGCCCCGCCAAGTCTAGCGGAAAAGTCTCCCCGCTTAATCTAGTGGAAAAGTTTTCCCGCTAAATCTAGCGGAACAATTTACCAGCTAGATTTAGCGGGCCCCGCTAAGTCTTGCGGAAAGTTTTCCCCGCTAAATCTAGTGTAAAATTTTCCCCACCAAATTTAGCGGAAAATTTTTCCCGCTAAATCTAGCGTACAGTTTTCCCCGTTAAATCTAGCGGAAAATTTTAGATTTTTATCGGAAAATTTGCCCCGCTAAATCTAGCGGAAAAGTTTCCCCCCTTAATCTAGTGGAAAAGTTTTCCGGCTAAATCTAGCGGAAAATTTTCCCCGCTAAATCTAGTGTAAAATTTTCGCACTAAATTTAGCGGAAAATTTTTTCCCGCTAAATCTAGCGTAAAGTTTTCTCCGCTAAATCTAGCGAAAAATGTCCCCACTAGATTTAGCGGGGAAAATTTTTCGCTTAATTCAGCGAGGAAAATTTTTCCGCTAGATTTAGCGGGGGAAATTTTCCGCTAAATATAGCGGGAAACATTTTTCCGCTTGATTTAGCGGACAAAATTGTCCGCTAAATTACAATGTTCTGCTAGATTTAGCAGGAAAAACATTCCGCTAGATTTAGCTTAAAACTTTTCCGCTAGATTTAGCGGGGAAGCTTTTCCGCTAGATTTTGCGGCGCAAATTTTCCGATAAATCTAGCTGGGAAAATTTTCCGCTAGATTTAGCGGGGGAAATATTCCACTAAATATAGCGGGGAATATTTTCCGCTAGATAGAGCGGGGAAAATTTTCCGCTAAATTTAGCGGGAAAAATGTTCCGCTAGATTTAGCAGTAAAAATTTTCCGCTAGATTTAGCGGGAAAAATTTTCCGCTAGATTTAGCGGGGAAGCTTTTCCGCTCGACTTTGCGGGGCAAATTTTCCAATAAATCTAGCTGGGAAAATTTTCCGCTAGATTTAGCGGGGAAAAGTTTCCGCTAAATATAGCGAGAAGAATTTTCTGCTAGATTTAGCGGGGAAAATTTTTCGCTAAATTTAGAGGGGAAAATGTTCCGCTAGATTTAGCAGGGAAAATTTTCCGCTAGATTTAGCGGGGAAATTTTCCGCTAAATTTAGCGGGGGAATTTGCCCATCATGCACCGCGTGGTTACGCCGACGGCGTCGGCGACGCCGACGCCGCTTAAGCCGGAAACGGGTGCCTAAGAGCTGCGCTGTAAAAAGAGTAACCAACATATCAATTAAGCCTCGTCAGTAGTGGGACTAGTAACTCAAAGTAATCACATTAGTAATAAAATTCTCAATTGCCCCCCAAAAATCAAATTGTATAAACAAATATTCTAAGTTGCCAAATGTGTAAGCAAAACACGACCACTGAACACAATAAGTCCATATATATATTGTGGATTAAATTGACTGACCCCGGGATTAAATTGTGTGGCGCATGGATTAAATTGTATGGCGCTTGGATTAAATTGAGTGACCCCGGGATTAAATTGGTCGTCGCTTGGATTAAAATGAGCGGGAAAACCTGTAGTACCATAAATACAATGTACTTGCAAAGTAAAGTATAAGTACTAAATTTTAACACAATATTTCATGATTTCATTCCTTCCCCCAAACAGTTTTTTTTTTTTTAACTGGTATGTATTGCTTAGGGGTAATCGAAGGTGCATCAGTTATTTTCAGAAATCGCAGCGGATGTTGAATAAAATCAAATGGCCACAGAGTTGTTTTACTCTCGCTGACGAACTATTTAACGCAACCAACTTATAGTTATAAGGCACTTATTTGTTGACAAATCATAATTTTGTGATACAAATTTAACAAGACAAAATTCGGGGGAAAGTAGAAAGTCGGAAGTTGTACTTTAATTATCCTATTTATTGTGACGATTGAACCCCTATATTATGGGCGTACAAATAACATGCACAGACCGTATGAGTGTAGCTTTCACGGCTTTCTTAAAACAAATCTGTTAAGCCCAAAAAACGCCCTGTATCATAAACATTACCTAACGTTTCGTATACCATCATTATTTTTAATTAAACCGCGACATTGCCGGCGAAATTTATGTTATCGAGAACACGCGTCAAGGCCATCAGTAGCGATCAGTGATAAACAATGACCTGGAGGTTATTACTTGCTTGGGAGAAGAGCGTGTTGGTTTAAGTCATGGATGAAGAAAGAATAAAACAATTAAAACAGGGACAACACAACCACATCTTTCCTATTATTACTGCAGGGCCAGGTCATGTTGCATGCTACTTTGTACCATTTCAATGGGTCAAAAATCAAATGTGGGACATAAATATTTATATAGAGGCGGAAACAAGTTAGTCTGCCATGAGGTACGGCAACTTTTTGTCTAGACACTGTAGGAGAAAAATTTGGCCACTATTGCGCCATCTAGCTTGGGTGCTTTAACGTGCACGACGCAGCTTATGACAGAAACGCACGCGGACTGAGGCTGTGTTTTCATACATCCTCGTTGAAACGTACGCAATTTGGAAGGATAATTTCTGTTTACAATTCTGGTTTCAGACATTCAAAAGATCCGGCCACACTGGGGGCAGGGCATGGTCGCCAAGAGGCTGCGAGCGCTTCTGCACTCTGAGACCTTTCGCTCGGAGATTGCAGGTAAGATCACTGAAGGAAGTTTAGAACTTTTTTCTTGAATATTAATATACTATCCTGTTTGGTAGCATGGTTACGACAATCAGATGAGTTTCGAAAGACACTGAATGAAAGGTAAAGTTTGCGCCCAACAATACAAATTCGCGGCGCTTAATTTGCTTTAAAACACTGACAAGGCACCTCTGCAACGAAACGTTTCACGGCGTCGCCAGCCGAAAAAGAAAACAAAAATAAAACGCAAACCATAGCTGTAAATAAGAAACGACCGCGATGTGGACACCGGATTAAAGATGTTCTTCTTGGCCGCGGTATTTTCGACTGGACTTGCCAGACGGCGTCGCTTAGACGAGCACTTCAATTGCGCGAACAATTTACACAATCAGTCAATCTATCTCCATGAGTCGTCTTTTTTTCTTTCTTTTTTAATTCAAGAATTATTCGTGGCCTTTGTTGCCGTGTTAACATTCCCGATCTTCAAAGAAAAAAAAAAGAAAAAGTGTAAAAGTTTGGTATCCCTAACGATTTGCACAATGTATTCTCATTTCGACTATGCTTCGTTTCAGCTTAAGTCCAGACGCAGCCGACTTTACGAGCTAATGGGAGCATCAAGCCGCGTCAAAAGCACAGCTCACTGTGCTTTCCCTGTACATAATTTGTGCAGCCATGATAGAACACGTACAGAAACATGACGAACGCCATGATGGTGCGCTTTTGTCGCTGTCTATTTGGTCCCATCAACTCATAGCTTCGGCTGCGTCTGAACTTCCCTCAAATTGGTGTTTAAAGCTTTGGTTTTTGGAACAGCCACATTCCTTCTTTGTTTCTGATAGCAAAAACATTGGTTTATATATATATATATTTTTTAATGTTAGAACACTATGCCAGATGACGACGAGCTGAGAGATAACAAATAATAAAACAAGTTGTGGCAGTGGACGGCGGTGGTCTTCCCCTCATATTCACTAACGATGTGGGGAAAACACAGAAGTAGGGTGACGGCGGATGATATTCCGTTTCATATTTACGATTAACTCGGGGATTTCCCTACCCACCCGCTAGGGGTGTGTACACCCCCCGCCCCTAGTTTGTCTGAGGGCACCCTTTACAAAATTCCTTGCTTAAATAAAAAAAAAAAAAACCTAATATTTGTTTTGCGCGAAATCGTTGTCTTCTCGAGCGCGCTGGCTCAAAAGTGGTTCCTATTGGGCAGGAGATCGAACTATAGGGGGCGCTTCATCGAGTTTGTTGTCCCCACAGCCCGATGTTTACTAACACACCATAATAAAAGGCTCGAGATAAACCTAGGCACTTCTTATGAGTTGCGAATGCGAGTCCCAGCAACTCTGTCGGGCTCCACACATGCATCTCCGCCCCCTCCCCTTTTTTGTAGAAAATAATAAGCAAAAAAATAAAGTAAATGCAAAAAAAATCGCCTCATTGCGCCTGCCCCCCCCCCCCCCCCCCCCCCTTTCCCCATTTTAATTCCTGGAGGAACTGCCGGACCCCGGATGCACTGCAGCGACGTATACGATTACGGGTTCCTTGCGCAAGAACGCCTCTCGGCTGCCCAAACTTTCGCGCAGCAGAACTATGAGCTCTGCCTTCTACAGTACATCTTGAGGCAAAAGGAAGTATAGAGGAGCCCATGAGCGGCCGTAGTCTCCCACGGAGTATAAACAACGCACCTATTTTTCAGTGCTTGCAGCTTCTGCTTCGACCCTGACATTTAATTCCACTCAGTTATGCGTGAGCAAGAACCCCGGGGGTTGAGCTCGACGCGCATTGGAAGGCTTCGTGCCGCGAAAGCAGTCCGTAGCTACTGATGTGAGACATCTCGAGGTCGACGCTGGAACACGAACAGGGCACCAACAAAAAGCCTCCCTTCTTCCAGGAAGGAAGGCTTTTTCAAAGCCTCACTTCCTGGAGGTTTTGAAGAACGTCATTCACCACGAAATCTCCCGGTTGGAGGAATGGGCTCCATAAAAGTGCCCCCCCCCCCCCCCCCCTCAACCCCTTCCCTTTCCTTCCTGGAAAAGCAACTGCAGCTCAAGAAGGTAGGGCGAGAGAAAGGAAGGCCGGGCAGGAGGAACCAGACAGAGTGCTAAAGAAGAGAGGGGGAACCTCCTCTCTTTAGCGTTTTATCTACTCCCCCCCCCCCCCCCCCCCCCCCCCCATCTTCCTGTCCCTCGTCCTACCTTCTTGAGTTGTAAGACTACGAGTATAACCGTGATTGTATGCTGTTTCACTCTATCGTAAGGTTCAGTGAAAAGCGCGTGCTGAACCATTTGTGGGTGTGCCTCCTCGGCCAGACCGACAGCCGAAGAAACGTGCTGCGCACTTCAGACGCACGATTGGTACCACCCCTTACGAAAACAACGAAGACACCAATCGGTAATGTGTCACGTCGCCAGGTCATCCGTGTGGGCGTTTGTGCTAAATACCGCTGAAACTGCTGTATGCAGCGAAATTCCCGCATAGTTTGAGTGAAACAGATCCGCAGTCGATCTCTGGCGCGCGAGCATGTATTACGGGAAAGTTAATGTCGTTCTTATCAAATGACATTCGTGTAATCGGAGAATCCGCTCGCGAGCCCGACTACCAGCGTCGTGCTCGAAACGCGGTGCGCCAGGTTTGGCCAATCGCTAAAATGACATTTGATTAAAAAAACAGAAAAAAATACTAACTCGTTCACGTGACAGGGGCTGCTTGATTGGCAGCGTCGGATCGTAGCATCAGCTGCGCTCGGAGTTTGTGTGGAACAGAATATAGTCTAACAGAATGATATTGGTTCTGAGTGCGAGTATCCAGAGAGTAATATATTTTTGCTCGTTTTGTATTCCAGAGAGCCACAGGTTCTGCAACCGTGTCCAGGACGCCTACACCCTGCGCTGCTGTCCCCAGGTGCACGGCATCGTGCACGACACCATCGACTTCGTGCGGGGAATCATCACGACTGAAATGAACAGCGCCACCGACAATCCCGTATCCTTGCCGAGTGTGAATCGCTGTTGGAATCTGCCGATTATTTTACGTCCGTCTGTTCACTATGTTTTCTCTGAACTCAACGCAGCCAAAGTCGTGGACAGATTAGAGCAGATTCCGTATCCCTAATTATCCCTTTTTTTTTTTTTTGGGGGGGGGGGGGGCATTTAATTTTGGATTACGAGGGCTGAGTGATTTCGTAACGGATGGCAGGCCAAGTAATAGACGCCGATGTTTCAGACGTCTCGTTGGCTATGAGCGCATTTGTGGTACATTTTAGATATCGATGTAACAACTGCGAGGCCATTGTTTAGGGAGGGAATGGACACCAGGATAAGGTCTCGAAACAAAATGATCAAGGATTCTAAATTCTCATTATAAGCAGCTTCAACTAAATAATTGGCAGGGTACTTGCCAGCATGCTAGGTTCGTCAACGCGTGAGTCAGCCTATCTCGAATAGCGTTTTTACTGGTTTCGTTGCCGGCAGCCCGGCAACGGATTATCACTGTGACACATTTGAGGCATTTTTGAGGTGTCGGAGTGACATGCATAGTAAATGTTTACAGCAAAAGAAAAAAGTTCGACGTTTTCACCTTATATTCTGAGCACCAGCTCGTGTTCTGCGAAAGAGGAGAGATAATTTCAGGCGGAAACTTCCACGGAGAGTACCCGGCCAAGGTGAGTTCCCCGCCGCTCTGGTCAAGCTAGAGCACGTAAGCACTTACGTGTGTTACAATAAGCGTAAAAGCTAGGTGAGATTCACTTTTGAGGCAGTCTGACGGGACTAATGAAAGAGCCCAATACGCAGTTCATTGGGCCTTCCATGCACATGATTGGTCCAGCGGTGATAGAACACGTACGACGTCATTTAACTGGTCCCATCAGCTCGTAGCGTAGGCTGCGTTCGGTCTCAAGGTGAAACACAAGTTACTGGTGCAAGTAGCTTTCTGACAGGCCACCCATGCATGCAGCCCGTTTCCGGCGGCAGGCCGCTCGAGGTGGATGACTGCACGAGTGCGTCGTCAGGCCGTGTAACTCCCTTTGCAGGCGCTCGACTATTTGGCCATCGCGGTGCACGAGCTGGGCAGCATGAGCGAGCGGCGCACGGAGCGGCTCATCAATCCGGCGTACAGCGAGCTGCCGGCCTTCTTGGTCCAGGACGGCGGCCTCAACTCGGGCTTCATGCTCGCCCACTGCACGGCCGCAGCACTCGGTGCGTGATATGACGCGAGCTAGGACGTCGGGTGCATTAGATCTGACGTAAAATACCAGGTTTGCGCCGGAGTCAGCGTTCAGCGGACTAGTCTTTAATCAGTGACGACACAAGTCTCAGCCGAGTGCTGAAGCAGCACTCGTCTCTTTTCCTTCCCGGGAGGCTAAGAAATGTCTGCCGGGAGGGGAGAGACACATATTTGAGGATGAGGGAGTTCGCAAGAAGGAAAGCTAAGTACAATGTCTGTTCAGTTAGCTGCCCCAGTAACTACTTATTCCACTGCAGATCAAAATGAAAGGTCAGTTAGTTTGCATAAACTGTCCATTTTTCAAATATAAATTGCCAAAAATAGGGGCGGTCATACCACTCGTTTTGTTGTAATTTTTTTTATTACATGCGAGTTATTGTGGCCGTAAAAGACTACCCAATCAATATCTTGCTACAGCGTCACGTATATTTTTAATGAAGTAAAAAAAAAAAAAAACGCAACTGTTCGAAACTGAAAGAAACATAAAAAAAAAACAAAAAAAAACGTGGCTGTGCAATTTTTTTTTTTTTTAGTTAACGTATTTGCAGCTTTTTAGAAGCCACAAAAACTGGGTATCATATTTTCTGCCTATTTTTAGTATTGGCTGTGTGCCTTCGATGACCCACAACTTTAATTATCTTTGATGGTTGTGTCTAAAACATAGAAAACGGCACATGACCACGGTTAAGAGAGTGAGCGCGACTCAAACCGGCGGCGGAAAGAAAACGAATTTCGAGCCGCAAATTGTGTTGCGGGTAGTTGGGCTCCCATATGTCATGTACAAATAAAAACGCGAGCATGAATCAGTGTCCCTTGAGGTCAAACCGAACATCACATCAAATTATTAATGAAGAACGTAAATCGGTGCCAACTTTGGGCAGCATTCGGCGATGTCCCTGATGCATAACTCGTATGAAGGTTTTCCCGTATTACACAGCTGATAGACGCACTCTGCTTTTCTCGAACAGCGACAACCTTCTCGGCCCCGACTGGCGTGACAGTACAGGTTTGAGGAAGAACTTGGCGGCATAGCACCAGGATGAGCTAGAAGATGCTCTGTTCCCATTCTTCCTCCCAACCACGATTCTGCGTGTCGGTAGCAGCTACTCGTTAAAAGCGGCCCACAGTATAAACACTTAATCTTACGGTTACAGTCTCCGAGAACAAGGTGCTGTGCCACCCGGCCTCCGTGGACTCTGTGCCAACAAGCGCCGGCACGGAGGACCACGTATCTATGGGCGGATTTGCGGCCCGAAAGGCCCTCAGCGTGGTCCAGAACGTAGAACGGGTCATCGCCATCGAGCTGCTCTGTGCCTGCCAGGCCATCGAGTTCCTGAGGCCTCTCAAGACGACAGCGCCTCTAGAAGCCGTCTACAAGCTAGTCCGGATGTTCGTCAAGTGAGTTCATGAAGCAGATACCAGAAACAATCCTCCAAGATAATACAGTCTAAGTTAATTGCAACAGACCTGGTTATAACATTATAACAGACGCTTGGATATAACATACCGATTTGTGAAGTTCGGTTGGTTTTCCTCTAGATACCATTGACTCAACTACTTCATATCTGCATACAACGTACTCCTTTTACAACAGACCGAAATCTTGGTCAAAATCAAGGTCTGTTATAACGAGCTTAGGCTGTAGAACCATGTTCGCCAAGGATGTTGAAAGAGCAGATACCAGCAACAATCCTTCCGACTGAAACAGAACCATGTTAGTCAAGGATGATTGCAGAGCAGATACCAGGAATCCTTCTGACTGAAAATGCATGCTATACTCCGTTTCACCGCTTTGATGGACCACAGCAGATTCTACGAGCCACGCCGGCTAATCCATGCCATGTGGGTGTCATGCGACCTCCGGGATGGGCACAGCGATGCGCGGGGCACATAGTCACGTGATGCATTCACAGCTCTGGATTGGCCGGGATGGCTTGTAGCGTCCACGGTGGTCCACGGTAAGGTGAAACAGGTTTTGACAAAAAGGTGTTCACAGAGTGGACACCAAAAACAATCCTTCCAACTGACACAGAACCGTGCTAGTGAAGAATGTTCACAAAAGCGGATACCAGAAACAATAATTTGAATGAAACTGAATCGTAGGGAACTCAATGCTAATCTGGTGGGTGAACGGGCCCAGTGTTCTTTTTTTAAAGCAAAGAGATACAGTCATGTTCAATATGAGCATAAACATGCAAGTGGCCACTGATCGGCATTGCCAGCAGCTCAAAATTGTGCCTCGCCAATAAACAGTAAACAACATACGCACAGGAAGAAGAAATGTACTGAAAATTCAAAAAGCCAGGGTTTATCTCCCATCTTCGTTTGCGAAAACGCCGCACCAGGGCGTTGGCAGTAGCGATTGGCCGCAGCCAGCTTACGTATTCACCTTCGTATTAAAGACAGTACTCTCCATTTTTAGCCTTAAACTTTGGAATGGGTCCCTGTCAGCCATATCTTCCTGGTACAGCATATCATCCCCAGAAGTTCTGCTGGTATATAGGCATAATAATAATCTCAAAAGCTAGGGCCAAAAAGAAAAAAAGATACAAAAAGTGGAAGTGTAACAGGGTGACAAATACTATTTCTTAGAGCTGTTGTTTCCCAATATCACGCCCTAGAATATAGCCAGAGTTGTCAACCAAACACTGGTGCACTAAGTACTGTCTTCTGCTGGCTAAAACACTCACACAAGCTTCCATGCAAGTTGTAGCCATTCAGTGACAGTACCCACTGATGAACACATTATGCAATTACAAGATGCTGGGACAAGGACCGTGTCATGGCACCTGACATCGATGCAGCGACAGACTTGCTCAAACAATCTCGGATCTGGGACACCGTGAAGCCACATATGGATCACTACTTCCTCGTTCAAGAGGAAGAAACCAGAATGCCGTCTCCAACTACCTCGGAAATCAGCGTTGGAAGCTCTGGTAAAAGGCGCAAGATGGACTACAACAATGATTTCTGAAGCCAAGCACAACTTGGTGCCTCCATGAAGAATAAATGTCATTTATCCCACAAGATCAGTGTACTTGTACATTTACTGGCTCAGAAATGATGTTAATAGTGATTATTCAGAGTGAGAATCTTTCCCCATTAGCAGGATTGACACATCCAAACTCATGATGACAAATGCACTAAGGTTTTCTTTCTCAGGTGAGGCATTCTTCTGCAACTTCCTGTTCATCCTTTCCATCACCGGTCACTGTGGCTATTTGGTATTGTAAGTCAGTACATGTGACCATGGTATTTCCACGTGATGTAGACGGCACCAGATCTTGAGGTAAGTCACTAATGTCTGCAAGAGTTAGCACCAGGTGCTGGTTGCCAGCAGACTGCTGAATCGTCCTAGGTTGTGGCACAAATGCTTGAGTATTTGAAAGAACCAGAGGGGTCCTTTGTTTCTGAAGCACACTCTTTGCTGGAGAACAGCACACGACTGAAGATCCTGTAGTTGTGGCCAGGGACATTGGAATTAAATTCCCAGAGTTATCTAAAACCATTGCAACCAGGGAACTGTTGTCCTGCTGTACCATTGTTGGTGCACTGCTGTCTACTGTTGTGAGGATTGTGGTGCCATTCTGCAAAACACAGATGTATACACAAAAAGCAAGTCCGTAAAATGCAAAATTAATATACAGGACAAGTCGCTTTTGAACTGTTTGGCTGAAATGGACAAACCAGTTTTTTAATGGTGCCATTGTGAGATCCACATTTAATGAGATGTAGACCCCAGGTAAGTAGGCACTCAATGTACACCCTACAAATAGCTACATCTGGCAACAAGACAGCTGCACCACACCTATAATTTATGCCAGAGTAATAATGCACAGGAGTAATGAAAAGAAAATCACACAAGCGTTCTCTCTTTTGCCCCCTCATGTACAAAAAGCAAGACAGCACGCAGTGGAGTCACAAGGGGGGGGGGGGGGGGGGGGGGGGTGCAGACAGGACTGGCCCTGGGTGCAGCACTCAGGCGGTTGTCGCAGCGAGCCACAAGAACAGGGGGGTGTCGCACCAGGTTACCGCACTGGGCTACCGCCCCGGGTGCCGCTGACCCCGATGATGCCACTGCTAGCATGTCCAAGCGATTGGTGTTTTTTCTCTTTTTTCTCAGAGAATTAAAAGGATGTTAACGAAACTACCAATGTTGAAAGGTGCTTTTTGGGGGGCACCAACCTAAGTAGAAAACGTTAGTATTCACCCTGTACACTGCCCAAGTAAAACGCAAACAACTGCCAACATCATGTTCACTCTTTGCCGAGCAGTGTGCAATAGTTTGAACTGGACCCATGAGGGCACCACTGCCAGAGATAATAAAAGGTGCACACTGCCTCGACCAGTGTGTGACACGCCCCAACTCGTGATGTATTTCCTGCCCGCCCTGGTCGTTCCCCAAGGAATGAGCTGGGTACAGATCATCACAACTGGCAATGAGCGATAAACAATGTTTGCTTCAAGTTCGTGACAGCAACCATGCCGGCCATCGGAAAGGTAGAACCATTCGACGTGGTTACATCGGATTGAACCGAATACCGCAAACGCGTCGAATTGCACTTTGCGGCGAACAGCATTGCCGAGAAAAAGAAGACCGTTGTGTCCCTGATGTGCTGCAGATCAGAGAGATACTCGCTGCTGCTGAGCTTGCTCACCTCTACGAAGTCTCCCGATACCACCTTGGCTAAAATTTCCACACCTTCAACAAGCATTACTCACCGACAGTGTTTGGAGGTGATAGCCAGCTTCAGATCTTTTTTTCTCGGCATCGGAGAGAAGGACAGCCTGTCAGCGATGTCATCGCATCGCTAAAGAAGCTAGCCAATGACTGCAAGTTTGCAATGTTTCGGGAGCTGATACTACGGGATAAACTCGTGAGTGGCATCAATGACGTCATAATGCAGGCTAGATTATTGGAAACAGCCGAGCTGGATTTTAAGACTTCGAGAAACACCTTTATCGCCGTGGAGGCTGCTCAAAGGGAATCCCGTGCATTACGTGCCCAACGAGCTCAAGCGAGGTCTGGGCAGAACGCGGAATCTGCGAATGTCGTGAAGATTAAGCAGCAGGTAAGTGGATGCTGTTACTGCTGTGGAGGAAATCACCTGGCACCTCGATGCTGGCATGTGAGAAGCGTCTACTACAAGTACGAGCGGAGAGGGTATCTGGCAAGGGTCTGCAAATCAAGTATGTCTCAAATAGAAAAAAACAAGCCCCCGGAACGAACCACAACTCGTTCACAACCTGGACGACGAGATGGCAGCACCGGATGACAGGCCAAGAGCGCAAGAAGCAGCATACGACCTATAGACACTTCAAGCGGCCGGACCGCAGCCAATGCGTGTTAAAGTTGCTGTCAACAGAGTGACCTTAGACATGGAGTTGGATACTGGCACCAGTGTATCAACGATCAGTGAGAGCAAGTTTACTCAGCTTTTTCCCTCGGCGATGCTGGAGACACGTTCAGCTCAAAAGTTTTTTTGGTGAAATGAAGCCGGTGATGGGCAAGCTTGAGGCAACCGTGAAGCTCAGCAAGGACGAGAGCGTGCTGTCCAGCTGCGTATTTTCGGTACCGATTTGATATCCAGGGGGCGTGGCCAATGTCGTCACGAACGTCAAAATAACAGCTTTTATTTTGACGTCTTAGTTACTTTGACGTTAACAACACGTTTTCTTGGATGCTGCTCGCTGCATTTTGGAATGTCGGTCGCTCAGCGTGTGTTTGGCCGGGTGCTCGGCGATGTCCGTGCTGGCGCGTGTTGTCGACGTTGCCGCCTGTACTCGTCACGTTCTCAGGAACATCAATAAGTGTTCTCCATTTTCAAACTTTGCCCGGTGCCGTCCGTCACTCCTGTTGCAAATGAAGATTACGCGTACCGGAGGCGACAAAGCCCAGCGGCAGTAATTTTGTACACATTTTTCTGGAGCTGTACTTGTGTGTAATACGACGGATTATCACCCTTGCATAGAATAGCTGCGAAGGCCGTGCAAGCGGGTAGCGAGTAGCCTTGACTGGCATGACCGCACCCGCTGCAGGAGCGCTCGTGCCGCGCGATCCAAAGCAACTAACTCGCGCTTTTAGCACTGTCGTCGACAGCATTCTTTTTTTCGGTGTCAATTATAAAAAAGAAACGTCGCAAATATCGCCAAACGCCCCAACAAAACAAAATGTTGAAAAAAATAAAAAAAAGTATGCCTCCACTGCGGATCGAACCCACGACTGCTAGCGTATGAGGCAGACATCTTAATCGCTAAGCCACGCTACAACTTCCGAAATCACAATTTGACAATTTGTTTTATACAAGACTTTTGGACGGGCGGAGTATCGTCAATGGAGTACCGTCGGACGGCACTTCAACGCTCTGCAAAAGTGCTGTTGAACGGTACAGTAGTCAATACGAATCTTCTTTTGCAACAAGAGTGACCGACGGCACCGGGCGAACGAAATCGGAAAAAGCTCTTTCTGGATACGCGATGAGCGCAGGCGGCACGTCGACACACACCAGCGAGTACACCGCCGAGACGCCGAACACCCGACCACGCGCACACACTCGTTGACCGACCAACGTTTCAAAATGCAGTCGGCGGTATCCAAAATAAAACGTCTTTACATCGAAGAACATCAGAATTTGGACGTCCGTGACGCCACTGGCCACGCCCCCTGGACTTCAAATCGGTGCCGAAAACATGCCTCCGTGCTGCCCCCGTTTGTCATGAAGGGCCAGTGTCCTACACTGTTTGGGAGAAGCTGGATGAAGGAATTCAAGCAAGGAATTGTGACACCAGCAGAAGTCATCAACACTGTGGCGTCTGCGGAAGAAGCGGTGAGCCAATTTCAGGAAGTGTTTTCAGAAAGGCTGGGAACTTTTGACGGCGTGGTTGCCCCGATGATCACGCAAGGTGCCAAGCCTAGATTTTTTAAGCCATGGGTATTCCATTCGTGCTCCGAGAAGAAGTTATTGAGGAATCGCATAGGATGGAGCGTGAGTGCGTTATCCGACCCATGAAGACATCTGAATGGGCAGCAGCAATTCTTCCCATACTGAAGCAGGATGGCCGTGCTTGCCTGTGTGGCAATTTCAAGATAACGGTCAATCCTGTGACAGTGATAAGAGTCGTATCCGATTCCTAGCATCGAGGAGTTGTTTGAAAGGCTAACGAGGGCAGTCAAGTTTACAAATCTCGACTTGAAAGATGCGCACCAGCAGGTGAAGCTGCAGGAAGAGTCACAGAAGTATGTGACCGTAAACACCCCGAAAGGCCTGTACCAGTCTACCAGATTTCTGTTTGGGGCGTCGTCAGCTTTAGCATTATTTCAACGGAAGATGGAGAACCTGCTACACGAACTCGACCATGTCACGGTATACTTTGACGATATACTGGTGACCGGCACCGATGACAGCGACCATTGGAAAAATGTGTGTGAAGTCCTGGGGCAACTGGAAAAAGCGGGATTGCAGCTAAAGCTTTCAAAATGCGAGTTCCTGGTACCCTTCTGGGGCATGTCATCAGTTGGGCTGGTCTTAAACCAAGTCCAACCAAGACGGAAGTCGTGTTAGCAACACCCCCTCCCCGGGACGTGAAGGAACTGCAGAGCTATTTGGGCTTGATCAACTTTTATAAAAGGTTCATGTCAAACCCTTCCAATCTATTGCACCCCCTTCACCGCTTGCTCATGGCAGGGGCCTGTTGGTGCTGGACATCTGAGGAAGAGCACGCATTTCAGAAAAGCAAGGGGTTGCTGGCCTCCGCTAAAGTTTTAGCACACTTTGATCCTGCAAGGCTGACTGTGTTAGTCACTGATGTCTCCCTGTATGGGCTTGGAACAGTGTTGGCACAACAAGTATCGGGGGAGAAGCATCCAATTCTGTTCGCTCTCGGAGTCTGGCAGCTGCAGAAGCAAACTACAGCCAGCTGGACAAGGAAGCGTAGGGCCTCGTGTTCGGAGTCACAAAGTTAAGCAATACCAGAAGGGCCGACCTTTCAAGGTCATCGCAGACCACAAACTGCTACTGGGGTAGCTCGCAGCAGGTAAGCCTATCTCCGAGTCTGGTTCTCCAAGAGTGGTGCGATGGACCGTGCTGTTGACTGGGTGCCGGTACACGCTGAAGTACCGACCTGGCAGTCATATCGCTCATACAGACCGACTGAGTCGCCTACCACTGCCCACTACCAACTTTTCTGTGGACTGCCCTGCCGATGTCTTCATGGTGACGAGAGTATACCCCTAAGTGCTGTCATTGACTGCCATTGCAGAGGCCACTGCCAGGGACGCGATGATTGCACAAGTGAGGGAAGCTATGTGGACCGGCGACCGACTGGACTTGGGACCTCAGGGGAAGCCTTGTGAAGCTCGCTTCACTGAGATGAGTGTCCAAGGGAACTGTGTGCTTTGGGGCAACCGTGTGTTAGTTCCTGCATCACTCCAAGATGACATCTTGAGGCTTCTTCATGAGAGCCATCCAGGAGTGTCGAAGATGAAGGCCGTGGCGCGGAGCCATGTTCGGTGGCCTACGATGGACGATGACATTGAGGCTGCAGTTCAGGGATGCCCATCAGCCAGGAGCAACAGAGGGCGTTGCGGCCGGTACTGATCATGCCATGGCCATTCCCGGGCAGGCCCTGGTTGAAGCTCCATGTGGATTATGCTGGGCCATACAGGAGCACTAATTTTTTTATTGCAGTGGATACATTCTCCAAGTGGATTGAGGTGTCCCCTGTGTCAACGACACCAGCAGAGAGCATTATCGCGTGCCTGCAAGTCATGTTTGTGTGCCAGGGCCTGCCAGAGATTGTGCTGCCTGGCAATGGGCCAGCATTCGTAAGCGACACATACGCAATAATTTGAAGAAGAATGGAGTGAGATGAATGCTGGTACCACCGTACCACCTAGCGTCCAATGGCGCTGTAGAGCAAGCTGTTCAAACAGTAAAGAGGAAATTAGAGAAGGCTGGTCCAGGGGACACACGTGCACAACTTGCACGCTTGTTGCTCACATACAGATCAACACCTCATGAAGTCACGGGGTGCAGCCCCTCCGAGCGAGTGCTCAGAAGGAAAATGAAGACTGCAATAGACATGTTTCGACCTGACCTAAGGACCACTGTGCAACAGAAGCAGCTCAAGCGGATCAGATGTGACCAAGGAACAAAACCTCAGATTCAAAAACACCCTGGGGACCAAGTGTTCGTAAGAATCTTTCGTTCAGGCCCTGCTTGGATGCTGGCTGTGGTCACAGCGCGGTGCACATTTTCATCAGACCTCCCACTGGCTGACGGACGACGCTGGATGCGCCACCATGATCATCTCCAGCCGGCTAAACTACTGCCACACATCGAGCAAAACCAATCATCCGGCCCAGCAGCAGACTTGAACCTTCACATTCCAAGCCCTGTTCCTGATGTGTCGAACATTCCCCTCAACCACCAAGCGCTACTGCTCGTTTTGTTAAAGTCTTTTTCATAGGTTTGGAATTGTTACTAACATACATTTCTTAGGGGTGGGAGGAGTGTGACGGTATGAACTGGACACGTGAGTGTGCCACTGCCAGAGGTAATAAAAGGTGCACACTACCTCGACCAGACAGTGCGTGACACTCCCCGACTCATGATGTTTTTCCTGCCCACCCTGGCCATTCCCTGAAGAATGTGCTGGGTACGGACTATCACACTATGCAGCTTCCTCCATTTGTTAAGTGCCGCATTTCAATACTACTGCTGCCTCCATAACAACTCTATGTAAGCAACAATCCACATCGTGCCACAACTGCCACCTGCTAACAGATGGCTGGCTAGATCTACTTGTGTCTCTGAACTCCAATAAATATTCTACAGCTTTTACCCTGCCTCTAGCCAGATATCTGAAAGTTGTCAACTTTACGCCAAGGCTATGATCTGCCTTATAATTCTATGCAACCTTAGAAAAATGCAAGTTTCCATCAATACACCAGTAGGTTCCTCTCAAGTAGGTACTAGATTCATTTGCTATTATCCTCCAGTAAATGTCTACCTGAAGCTCCTTGAGGGTAGACTGAAGTGCTTCATTTCGTGCTTGAGCAATGTGCTGGTGCAGCAGTTCAGTGTGCTGGCTTTGCAAGGTCTTCAACAGCTTGTCAAGTGTGCCATTGAACTGTGGTTTCTGGGAGATCAGCTCCCTCTCCCGTTTTCGAAGTTGGTCGATCTCAACATTCTTTGCTTCCAACTGAAAATAAGTACTGCAGCTCAATTTACAAACCATACAGTAGCTATTTTCCTTTCAAGAAGGTTAACAGCAAACTCACAAGCGGGAAGTATACAGTTATGTCATGTTCTCCCCAAAAAATAGTCAATAATCCGAGTAGCCCATAATAATGGGACAAAAATGCATGTATTCACCCACTCCACCCCTACACATTTTGTCTATAATACCGGGGTGCCCACCTTAACGGGGTCCACATTGAAGAGACATGGCTTTACTGTGAAATCTTGTAAAGGTGGCCACCCAAAATGAAGAGATAAATAATGAAAAACACGAGGTGGGCTATTTTTGAAAATCAGACAGCAAAACTTAACAAAAAAATAATCATAAACACAAGGGACACCTGCAACATACCGGCTAAACTTGCGTGCCACAAAAACCGATATCGCGCACGCAGATCGCGGACAAAAAACTCGGGAGCTTGCTACGAACTTGCATGTCATGGGAAACAATATTGTGCACAGATCGCAAACGAAAACGCGGAAACCCGCCTGTCACACGTACCGGTGCCGCAGATCGCGTAGTTGTTGTAATTTCCTTCGGACATCGCGTGACGTCCGGCGGGAACCGAGGGAGTAGGCATATGTTTACGGATATTTAGCTAGAAACACGGGATGTGCAATCTCTCAGGGGAGGGCGCCCCTAAGGGATTTTACAGTAGTTTATTTTCTTTGTCAAGTTTTAATCAGGCACTTCGCAAATTAAAATTTCTGCGACTGACCAATTATAGGTGAGCCATGCATTGCCAAACGTCAAGCTTCCATAATACCATAGTTCTGCAGTGTCCTTAAAAGGTGAAAGCACCTTCAAGTGTCAACCTTTTAAACCAGAAGCTCAATATTGATGATATTTGAAGGGTCTATTCATCTCCTTGTATAAATGCACTGTAAGGAGTTTTATATCTGTAGGACAATTTTCAGAGAAGCTAAAGAGGGAGGTATACAGCTATTGATGCAAGTTGCCTCACTTGGCAAGAAAATCTATCATATAAAGATGCTGCAAACCACAGAGCATTCCTAAGCTTCAAACTCAACTAGAACAGATAAGAAGAGTGGCTATGTATCTACCTTTTATCCTAAATCTGTGCTTTATCCATGCAAAATATCAATTTGAAATACGTTCCACATTATGGGGCATCTTCTCATCAAAAACCTACTTATTGGCAATGAGAACTTAATTAAAAAGAAAAACAAAATTGATATCTAGCCGCATTCCTCATTAAATTTTAGTTCCAAGGCATCTACAGTGAAGAATAAATTAGAAAAATCATAAAAATTAAAAATTTTCTGAGACAAAAGTTGCTAAAAAAAAAAGTGAAACAGATAAACCATTTGAAGTTTCCACAGCACCACATCTGATTTTACTGGTGGTGCTAGAAACTAAAAGGCACCAAGAGCAAAGGTGGTGCTTTCCGCTTACACCCGATCTCCTGCATGGCTCTGCTGAGAAAGTTCGAGCTTCAAACGCTTTCTTCGAGTGTCATTTTGTTGTCGGCATGTGGACATTAATTGTGAAACAAGCAAGGAATTGGATATGCTTGCAATACACAGACCAGCATCAGCAATTGTGGGCAGGGCAAGCATCACCGAGATGCAAAGTAGACAAACCCACGTGACTTTCTATAAACAAATGTTGGTTTTAGTCTGTTTTCTGTCAAACCAGGACGGGCTTTCCAGTTCTTGTCAATGCCCATAGCCTCTTCCCCCTGTGGAAGCTGGACTTCCATGGTGTTTTTGCCCAGATAGTGTTTACTCTTGAACAAACATGTTTAATGTACTGAAACTGTGCATAAATGCTTTTTCCAACGAGAGTATGATCATCACCCTAGGCCGTATTGGTGCGGAGCTACAGCAATTAGAAAATACCTGCAAAACATATAATTTTGCGTCGTCGGCACACCGAAAATGTTTTATTTCTTCGTAAATATATCAGACATTACAATAAAAATTTTCAGGAGTGTGCACTATTAGTTGTGGATATTGATACATGAATATTAGAAAAATAACTTCTTTGCTAAAAAAATTGCAATTTTAAGGTAGTGTCCACCCTTAAAGGGGTACTCCGGCGATTTCTTCATGGTCCCCGATTTGCTTGAAATTTTGCTGAACTCACCAAACAACATCGCTAAAATAGTATCCCAAATATTAGGTCAAAATAATTTTTTTTCACGAAGTTATTGAATTTACAGTTTTGGTTCTCACCGTGCTTTTCAAACTGAAAGTCTCTACTGGCAACAATGAAAAAGTGACGTCAGTGGAAGGCAGGGGTTCACTTTTTGGACTGTAGAATTTGTTCCCAACTGATTCGAAGCAGTTTCATGGTGTCAAATGAATGCTTTGGAAGCTCGCTCCAGTCCCCGCGCTCCACCACGGAACTAATGATTGGCATATTCTATTTTTTAGACTGCTTGCTCGACTGGCAAGGCTGCCCACCACTGACGTCACGGCACTGAAAAGTGCGGGAATATTTGAATGTTGGTTTTTGCATCATTTTCATTTGCCGATTTCACAATAACTATTATGAATTTCGCGATACTAAATAGCATACCGGAAAGGGTAAAGGCCGGGGAGTCAGAATATATAGTTAGTTGAGGTAGCTCAAAATATCGCCGGAGTACCCCTTTAAAGGGGCACTGAGACATCAAAATCTTTTTTTTTTTATTATCCGAAACGATTGAAAACGATGCCGGGACATTACCCTCAAAATTTGAAATTTGGGAATTCAGTATTTGTGAAGTAAAAAAACTATTTTCAAATGCCGATTTCGAAGTTCCCGCGCGATCCGCGCCGGTGCGTTGACGTCAAATATTGCGGAGTCCTGAGAGTCCACTTTCTTTCACGACTCCCTGCTGTTGCCATGGCGACCCAAAGCGAGGAGGAAAGGAGCGAGCGCCGGCGTTGCGGCGGACCGGTTTTGAGTGGTGTCGCCTGTTTTCCGCGCACAAGAAAATTTTTTTTGCGATGCGTTTTTTTTTGCGTGTCTATGACTGCAACTTGCATCGTTTTAGACAATAAAAAAAAAACGAATTTCGGGGTGTCAGTGCCCCTTTAACCCATTCGCTACCAAAGCCGGCGAATCGCCGGGCGTGCCGTCAGGGGCCATATTGCCAAAGCTGGCAATTCACCGGTTTGCATGAATTTATGTCTTAAAGAGCCATTCATAGATGGTGCACTATGTAGGCTTGGGGTAATGTAGTTAGATACGTTGCCAACAGATGGCGAGGGTCGTTCTGTTAGCTGTGTTTGTTTGAGCTTGTTCTTTTGCGTGTCGTCTTTCCCGCTCGATCGATGCCCGCTTGGAGAAGATGGCAGCGTCCAGTGTACGAAGTGGCCTTTCTGACGATAAAATTATAGATATCTTTTATGACAGCGATGATGACGGGACGTCTGGAGAGGATAGCGAGTTTTCGAAGCCCTCTGTCGATGACGGGAGCGATTCTGACAGCAGTTGTGAATCCAAATCACGACAAGAGCGCACTGGTTATGCGACGCCCAAGCGACCGAGGATGAAGAGCTTCGAGCTCTTTTATACGAGGAAGAATCTGCGAGGGCCGATTGATTTATAGACTTGAACAAACTACTTAAGCATGCAAATAAACATGTTTTCTTGTTTTCTGCACTGAGCTTTACTATGAAAGCTCATTATACAAGCAAAACAGTCACGCCTAGTGTGGCCGTTTTAGGGGAAAAACATGCAGTATCGACGGCCCGGCAGCGCGGGACGCGTGCAATAGCGAATGGGTTAACGAAGTCCTACTGTTCAAGTATTCATAAATTAGGGCCATAAAAAACTAACAGTGCAGAGCTAATAAATATGTCAGTCTATTTGATGGTTTGAAATGTGATATTATTGCTGCACGAACTGAGCTGAAGACTGCTGTCTTTGAATAACCCATTGAAAGCAGCACAGAGCATTGTGAAACTGCTGGGAACACAAGTGGGACATGCAGTAGTCATGTATTAAGCATTTGAAAGAGCATGAAGTAACACTCATTCCCAGTGTTTCCTATCATTTTGCAACTTGTAGCTTTGACAAACCAACGCTGTACAAGTCCCAACGGGCATGTTCCCAATCAACTAAACCTTATCAAACCTCGAAGTAAATTCAGCCACTATCTTTGGCGAATTCTTATGGAAAAGTTAAAGGGGCACTCAAGTGGATTTTGAAATTGTTTACTTATGGTGATAGCTCAATTTCGGGGCACTAAGCATCGTCAAAAGCCTAAAGTTACACTCGTGGGTGGCCGATTTCCCTATTAAAAACCTAATCAAAGATTGTGACACGCCCCTCTTTCTGCATCTTGGAGCAGACACCAGGGGGTGCCGTCAGACGGCGTTTTCAAACAATAATTGCTGCATTACGTCCCCTACACCCAAAGATTTCATGTTTCTGTCAAAATATAATGCAGAACGGCCTAAAAAGAGCAATAATAGCAACATTCAAAATCTCCACGCAATTCACTATTTCCATTGGTCAAATTTTATGACCCTCCCCAAAAGAAAATAACGCTCGTGTATTTCTATCGCTGTGAGTTTACTAAGACGTCCTGCCCTCCAGAACTGGTCATTTTTATTGACTACAGCCTAACAAACAATATGGCATCAAAAAGCACCTGAGTGTCCCTTTAAGGTCTCGCACGTAGCAAAACAAAAATTTGCCCACAGCCCCTCAACTGCATCGACAATGCCAAAGAAAAGCGAGTTACCTGACGTTGGAGCCTGTAAATCTCGGAGCGAAGAACGTCCTCCGTCTCTGCTCGCTTCATCTTCAAGTTGTCAAGCTGATGTCTGAACTCTGTCACCAGCTTTTCCAAAAAGGTGTTCCTCACAGTAAGGTCTTCCTGAAACAGCATGGCTACAATCGGAGCGAGGCAAGATAAAAACAAGATAATAAAGTAACGAGGAAGCTTCCTTCGTTACTTGATTATCTTCGTTACCTCCCTATCCTTTACCAGAGAACCCGGATCAGAAGAGAGTGACTTGGCGTCGTCGTCTTGAACAACCATGAACGCAGTCGGCGCTGCCGAGAGACCCGGCGAGAGCTCAGAGGAGGTGTCTTCCGTCATATCGACAGTCACAGCTGCAAAAATATCCAAATTTGCGAAAGTGTTTTTTAAGGCCCGTTTCATGTCACCTACTTCACAGCTTGTTTTTAGTGTTCTATGTAGAGTGCCGAGTTTAACCTAAAAGAGACACATTCTAGAGCATCTGTTGAATATAAGTTTCTTCACAAATTGGTCACACCAAACAAATTGGTTTCTAGCTTTCCAACATTGAGATTAAAACTCTAATATGCAGCAATCTAGCCTAGTTCAACGCACCAACATATGAAGACCACGACAAGCTGGCATACAATGAAAAAACAAAGACATATTATGCAAGAAATGCATAAGAGCATAAGACCCTTTAAACTCTTTTCCAAGTGTACTCATTTAACAAATCCTTTTGGAAACATGCCTTCATCAGCTTGGAAAATTGTAAATGAAAAGAAACATATGCTGCCTATTCATTTTATGAAAGCTGTCCTTCAGAAGACTGTTACAGTGTCATATGACTGCCCAGTCACATACCAAGACTGAGGAGTGAATAGAAATTTAAACTTGGTGCAATGTCTGGGCTTCATGCGATGCAAGAAACCATGGAAGCAGCAGACTCTTATGGTAGCTATCACAATCATTTTTAGGAAGGCACCCATCGTTAAGTGAAAAAGAATGTGTACAATAAAGTGCCATTTCTGGACAGAGTGTACCAAATGACAAAACACAGACAAGTTCTGTTAGAAGGTGAGGCCTGCATTGGAACACCAAGTACAAAAGAAAAGAGGGTAAGTGTGCCAGTGCAGATAACATTACTTTGCCAGAAAGTTGAACTAGAAATCATGCCTTGCTGGGTTCCTTCTGAAGATAGCAGTGATTGTGCTCCATTTGTCATGTAATAAACTAAGCAAATAAGTACAGCATAAAAAAAAAAGAAAACACTACTGTATCAATGTGCATTTATTAAACAACTAGGATTAGATTCACCTGAGATGCATAGAGCATAAATGCACTATGCATCTCAGGCTACATCACCAGAAGGTAGCCCCAATGGGGAAGCCAGGATGAGAAAGCTCTAGTGCAATACTTCACTTGAATCACAAGTTAAAAGCAATTTCCTTAAGAATTGGATAAAAGCACAATATTGCCTATTGGTAGTAAATGTAAGCAGCTATCTGATAGCCGGCTAGTTGTCACTTGCGGGCTGTCAATTTTACATGGAGTCGCCACTGCCAGAAAGTTTTTTTGTTTTTTTTTTTATTCTTTTATTCTGATTCTGAACTTGGGACCTTTTAGTGTTCATGAAGGTACTCTTCTTCCTCCTCCACTGCCAGAAATCGACCACTAGCAACATCTATAACCAGTCTAGGATGGCAACTAGCGAAAGTTTTCAAAATTTTTCCTTTTATAGCTATTGATTTAGGTAAGGACTTGGGTTGAAGGTCTGGCAACTCGCCTTCATTGCTGGAGCTAATTTCTGGTGAGGTTTCAGTGTTATGAAAAGCATTGTTCACTGACATGCTGTGAAAAAACTCCAGCACATTTTCTCGACCTGACCCGGTACATTTGTTTATCGTGAATGGCCCGTAGAGATTTTTGGGAGAAATGGTAAGTAAACCTGTGATGTGGCTAGGCAAACAGCTACCTACAGACAGCTTCTGTGCAGTCAGCCTCAGGTTCAAGTCCCGAAGACGATGATATCAAGCCGTCTGAAAGTTCCATGGGGCTGTCTTTGTCCGACTGATTATGAAGTCCCATTCCCTCATTGACATCCTGGAAAAAAGTGCAGGGGTGAGAAATTAAAAGAACCAACAAAATACCAACATGGCTTAGACCTTTCTAGCCCTAACACCTGCATAATATATAAGCATTGTTTGTGCTTGTGGTAGCTTAAAGGGCAACTCTGCTTCATTTTCAATATTTAGAAAACTATGTAGCCCTCTTCAGTGTCATATAGGAAGACCCCATGTCAAATATTACGATCTAATTCCGTCTTTATATTTAATAAACTGGCCAGGAAACCTTCAAGAGAGCCAAGTTGCCGAAATCTGCCAACTGTAGCGCGCGACGTGAGGCGCAATCGTCAGCGCAGTCAATGCGACGGAGTTGGAGCGGCCAACGTTGAACCACTACGTCAGAGGCATGACTACGCCATTCTCACGTTTTGTTTGTTTTTACTTCTCAGAGCGAAATTGAACGATGACGTCATGAGTTTCTCCTTCCGGTGTTGGCTGAACGGCGTCCACGTGATCACCGTAACGCGGATGCGCTAGTTTGCGCTGTTCTGCGCGCTTATCGATCTGTTTCTCTGCTCCCCTTCTCCTCTTTCGTCTTCTCCTCTTCCCCCTGGTCATCACCGTCCACGCCATGCGAAGTGACCTGCCCACGTCGCGTGTTCTGTTCCTGGCCCCCCCCTGAGCGTCACAAGACCACGTGGTTCGACGTGACGTGGCCATGACTCTGACTACATGGGACCAATATTGCCTGACGCAACCGAAGTTTCGGTTTCGGTATCAGCTGATGTTTAAATTAGGATTACACAAATAATATTCCACATTTCGCGAATCCGAAGACGTAGAGAAGTTTAGTCTCTTCTTTTAAAACATTGGGTATTTTTTTCTCAGAGACAATGTCATGGGATGATCACGCTAACTACATTATATCCAAATTGTCCAGCAATGTTGGCTTGATATATCGTAATAAACACATATTTCCCCTTAAGGTAAAGTTGTTAATATATAATTCATTATTTTATTCCCATATAAACTATGGTCATCTAGTATGGGGCACAACTACTTTTACTAACTGTAAAAAAATATTCATTTTGCAAAAAAAGATTTTAAGAAGTATTTGCAAAGTCCCACTCGAATGTCCAATGGATTCACTTTTTACTCAACTGGGTGTAATTAAAATTTTTGATTTGTATAGATATCGCCTTTGCGCAAAATATATGATTGAAAAAAAACATGCATGTACATCATCTTGAATATTTAGCGAATCTAGCACAAAAAGTACACTCGTACCAAACGCGCATTCTGCAGCCCTGGCAAGTGCCTCTTTTTAGAACAAATTATGGCCATCATACTATAGCATACACACTACCGACCATCCTTAACCACCTTCATATGCACAACATAGAACTTGACACGTTATCGGTGGGTACCGTGCGGGACATGATACTCTCTGGGCAAATCGGCCATGATTGAACGGTGCCTTTGTGTGTATTTTCTGAGTATTTTTATTTTTTTTTGTAAAGGGGAATGTGCTTGTGTTTTGTGTATTGTACAATTAATTAACGTAGACTATTTTTCTGGTTTTTCCTTGAACGATGTGGGGCAGTGCTATTTTTTGTCTACTCTTAAATATTGTATTTTTTGTTATAGTGCCTTGAACGATGAGCAAGTGACGTTATTCTATAGTGCCTGCTTATTTTCTTTAGTTTCATATATCTCATTGCCAACTGTTCAATCTCTTTTTTGTTTAGCGTTCTCAGTGTATTTCTTTTTTTTCCGTCCACGCTGCTTGTAGCTGCTGCTTTAGGGGGGCTTAGGACTAGTCAAGCTGTACACACAGCTTTTTTCCAAAGCCCCCACCAACACTGTACCTTTCTTGTTGGAAATAAAAAAAAAACCTATTATTATAGTAGTGCTTTGTGAAATGGAATCACACGCAAGACTAAATTTTTCAGAATTGAGTGGAGTTGCCCTTTAAAGGGGTCATGAAATGATTTTTCAACTTTCTTTCTTAGCTTTCCTCCTTAACTCACAAATCGTGCATTGTACCAAATAGCTCAAGAAGACGGAAAGGAGGGACTCCTCTGTTGTCCAGACCCTCGTTTGTGTACCCGGACACCGCCATTCTCCCCTTAGAAGATTAGCCCATCACTCAAAACTGGACAAAACTTGGTTTCCTCACCTCGTTCACCCCTAAGCTGACAGTGCTGTGGAAGCTGCATGCTCGTTGGGCCATCCACACTTTTGCCACGAGATCACACTCCCTCGCGCATACCCATGTGCAGAGAATGAGATCAGGTGATGAAAGGGAGGCGGCTGATTGGTCTGGCGAGCGCATAGCTTTCACCGCACTGTCAGCTTAGGGGTGAAGGGAATAAGTTAGGTCCGCTGTCGTGTGACGTGCGTTCGGGCTGGGTGATGTGATTTTTGGAAACTGCTGATGTATTACAGTGAAAAGGCAGAGAGCTTGCGAAGGGAAGGAGGTACGAAATAGTCCGCTCTGTTTTCAAATTTTCGTACCGAAAATCAGGCTTTTGACTTCCAACCTTTTTTCTTTTGACCTACTAAACAATGTTATTAGTAAAATCCCTCTAAATTCATTTATCCCAGCCCAAAATTTTTTCATTGCCCTTAAGTTCACGTCGGGGTTCACAAGTAATTGGGGTCAAAGTCAAAATTAACCAACAGGAATTTTGATCGTAAAGAGTTTCATCTTTGCCCTTTCAAGCAGAGAACACAGAGAGCCATACCCTCCTCTCCTTGTCCCACTTTACCTCTTTCACTACCCTTGCACTTTTGCAAAAAAGGAAACTAAATTATTCTGCCGTGCCTAAGATAGGGAGTGTGTGCCGACCTTTAAAGGGGCTGTGCAACGACATTGGGTAGGAATATTTCTTACTTTACACCAGCTTCCTGGCACTAGTGGGACCCAAGAATACTCGAACGCAACACCACTGACCAACAAGCGTCTTCGTCGCTGCAGAATTCAAAGGATGAAAGCGGAGCTTTTCTTTCAGTCTCTCCTTCGCGAAATTTGATGATGGAGCTGTGCGGACAATGGCAACAGTACGATACCCGGGAATGCGTCATCGAGCTTTGCGATCCCAGCTGTAACGATATTCAAATGCTGCTCGCACAGTGGACGTGAAACTGCGTACGCATTCGATCTGGGCTCGTGACAATCGATGCTTCGACATGCATTCGGGTACTGGCCCGTGTCCAATCGCTGCAACGACGACAATAGCCGAGCCATAACAATGTCTGGAACTCAGCGCGTGTCCTGTGCTTTGCCAACCCCAGCACGTGGCTATGATCAACATGGGCGGCATATAATCGGCTCCAGATCACGTGGCCGCTTGTTCTGGCTGCGAGTTGAGGGGGTGAACGGCGCTCGTTTTTCTTTAATTTTTTTCTGGAACTCCTATTGCGTGGGGTTAAAACCGAACGCGTGTTTCATAGGTCATTGACGTCAGGGATCCGTTTTAAGCGGTATTTGCGCAAAGTACAAAAATTGTTGCATCGCCCCTTTAATCTGGAGCAGAAAGATGCTATACATTACTGTCTTGCTGTAACATACTGCACAAATTCCTTGTTTCTTACCTGCACTATGTTGATCTGAAATGTCGTCTGTGGGAGCTTGAAATGGGTCTCATAGTGCTTCATTGCTTCATCACGTCGGCAGAACCCGTTTCTGCACTTGTAGCAGTGCCAGTGGGGGCCTCTGAACTTTTTTTCGCCCTTGATGGCCCCCCACATTTTGCAAGTAGCAGCACACCGCAGCATTTTGAGACCTAAAACAAAAGTTAATGCAGGCAACATTAGAAATAAAAGAATTTAAAAGGAAACTATACTTCGTTTCATCTTCTGATGGGCTGCAGCACACACTGTGAACTATTAGAGCCAATCCTACGCCGTGAGATTGTCACATGACCTTCAGGAGGGGTGCAGCGGCATGCAAGGTACATAGTCACATGTTACATTCACAGTGCTAGATTGGCTGGGATGGCTCATACGGTCTGCTGCAGTCCATCATAAGGTAAAACGGAGCACAGAACCAGTGTTGCGTATATCTCAAAAGTAGTTCAAGCACGAAGTAAATTAGAAGTTATGTACTTCAAGTAAAGTAGTAAGTACACTGGGCATACTGTACTTAAAATAAAGTAGTATAAATACAATGTACTTTCAAAGTAAAGTACAAGTACCTTTCTTTACCTTTACAATAAATCTTTTTTTTTTCTTTCTTTTCCTTTTTTTTACTGGTATGCATTGTTTTAAGGATAATCGGGGGTGCATCAAATGGTGGCGAATATTGGATAAAATCAAGTGGCCCTCCAACTTATGAATTTGATGCCGCTTGCATGGCTTGCACCCAAGGGTGTTAAACTTACCAGAAGAGAGCATGACGTCAGCCCTGTAGCTTCAGCAAGCAATCCTCTCGTGGAGGAGTGTGCTCTGCAAATATTTTTAACCTCCTCGCTCGCACGGACCAAGGAAAAAGTAGCGAGAGTTTGAAATTCAGCGGGAAAGCTGTTCCCAGTACAAGCCAAGTGATGCGCTGCCTGCTCACATTTCTGGTTGAGTAGAGTATCTCTCCCAGTATTTCTTTAAAGCTGACAAAGCATCATTTTGTGATACAAATCTAGCAAGACCAAATTTGGGGTATATACTCTGAAGTCTGGAGTTGTACTTTCCTCAGAAATACCAGAAAAAAAAAAAAAAATCTTTAAGTACAGTACAAGTAAATACTCTGAAGATGTATTTCAAGTGAATTATAAATTTTTCAACTTACTTCAAGTAGTACTTTAAGTACAATGTATTTGAAGTGCTTCCCAACACTGACAGATACACAACAAAAATGTATGCTTGACTGCAGCCAACAGGCATTAAAGCAGAGCTTTTATAGACAACAAAATTTCCAGTTGGAGATTTTTTTTACTTTATGATCTCAAACAAAAAGTGGCACAGCATGTGATGATGGAACAGACATTTTTCTGTAGAAATCTGCAAAAGCTTGAGGAATTATTTGCAACATTTATATGCCCTTTTTTAAAGGGTGGTCAAACGTCCAGAAGCTGGTATGCCAAAAAATATAGTTTGAAGAAAACAGGTAGATGATTGTCATTGCAGAATTGGACAATAAAGGAAACAAAGTACAGGCTTTGAGCATTGCTCTTGAGTGGCTCTAGTGTGCCCTAGCGTTGCAGAGTGATCTGTTCATTCTTTCTTATGTGCCAAATCCCTTCTTTCTCCTTAATTAAGCACAACTCAAAATGCAAATTCCTTTTCTTTCTCCTTAATACAGCACAGCTCAAAATTTAATGTCATGTACTTAGGTCACATATATTAAACACAGCAATTGGCAATAATCAGTGTGAAGTCCCAGAAAGAACATGCTTTCACCCTTGCATTATCGCCAAATAATCCTCAAAAAGAGCTAATCACTCCGCAAGGGTCGTTGCTCACTCCCCTGAAAGTGATCACCAAAGAAACTTGAATCAAAGTGAGTTCCGATTTGCGGCACTTACACACCAGTTGTGGTGGTACAGGTCAGTTACAGACACCAGTCAATAAAGAACCTCATAGGAGCACCATCAAAATACCGGCTATTGGCTGGGATTGCAAAGGCCTTGCATGCGTGAATTAGGCTCACACCTGCAGACGCCTGCTGGCATGCATCCAAGACTGCACAAGCAAAGGACATAAAATTCAGCAAAGTAGGCAAACTTCTACATGGCTGCTTATTCCTGTGTCAGCATCTGGCACATTTTCTTTCGTTGCACAGACAACAAAAAGTGTCGCAAACAGTTAAAAAAAAGAAAAAAAGAATTAGTGTGAGCCACTGTCGTACCAGCGAAGCAGAGGCCCTTGTCAACATGCTTGACCCTGTAGTGCGCCTTCACGATCCGAGAATCCTTATAGACGACGCCCTTGCTGCAGAACGGGCAGTGGAAATGGGGCCCTTTCTCTGGGGGGCATCTTGCACCGGGGCACAAAGTGGGCTCGAAGTTGTTTTCGGAGCCCCTGACTCGGACGCTGGGGTGGGCCTGTAAAGAGCGAACGTGGAATGAGGACGCAGCATTCAAACAACTTTTGTGCGGCAACTATTCGGATCGGACAAAGAAACGTTTGCATCCCTTCTTTTTTTTTCTTTTCTTGTGATCATTGCCCGACCTTTCTGCAAGACCGTTGCATATAAAAGCCTGTCGAAACCGCCAAAATCTTTAGAGCGCTTGTCAAACGTTTACCGGTCAACAACGTCGAGGTGTCAGGAATGCCGCTTTGGTTCAATTTCGGAATTCACACGTCTTCGAGGCAACTGAAGCAACGCTAAATCGCTAAGCCTTCGGCGGAAAGTGAGCACGAAAAGAAGCGCATTCGTGCAGATGTGGTGGAAACTCACGATCAACTTCCGACCGTCCATCGGTTTCCTTGCGGTCAAGACACTTGCCCACGTTTTTTTTGCCCCGGATTGTTGACACCAAGGATTGTAAACGTAATTACGATGTGATGCAGATACCAGTGACGACCCCAAACCTGTTTCTTCATACGTATCGTTTCTTTGAGCCCAGAAAAGGTGTTGCTCAGTTGTTATTGGCCGGAGGAAGTCACGGGGTTACGTATAATGGCGCCCGTAGAGAAACCTCAACTCTCCTTTTCATGCGAAGCAGCACTAATGGTCGCCATCTTGGTTAGCCAACTGCGATGATCGAAAAAGAGCAGTTTTTTTTTTTTTTTTTTTTTTTTTTTTTAATAGCTACTGTTTGAACTAAGAGTACTAAAAATAAATAAAATATAAATTTACACATATTTAAATAAACCTGAGACGACGGACGAAGAAGGGGACAAACACGAAACGTCTCAAGACGTTCTGTATCTGTCCAAATCTTCGAACGTCGTCTTCAGTTTTTTTTTTTTTTTTTTTTTTTTTTTTTTTAATATATGCAACATTATCATCTATCAGCTCGCTTGTTTACTCACTTTTTCTTCAATAAATTACATCTAACATTTTCAGGGAACACTTGGGAATAGAGTTTTTCTAAGCGCCGTATGTACTGAAAGCTAAACCGAAACTAGACGAGATTTGTCGCTCATTGCTGTTTTAGAAAATTAACAGGAATATTTAACAAACTGAGAATACGAGCAAATGATGGTGTCATAAATGCGCACATGCTTCCTTTGTGTTATAGTAGCATTTGTATTTGTCCAAATGTTCCACGCGACACTATTTCGGTGCACGTGGCTAAAAAGAAATCTGATGCGACGTATCATACGAATTTAAAGGGGCTGTGCAATGACATTGGGTAGGAATATTTCGTATTTTACACCAGCTTTCTGGCACTAGTGGGACCCAAGAATACTCGAACGCAACACCACTGACCAAGAAGCGTCTTCGTCTCGGCGGAATTCAAAGGATGAAAGCGGAGCTTTTCTTTCAGCCTCTCCTTCGCGAAATTCGATGACGGAGCTGTGGGGACAATGGCAACAGTACGATCCCCGGGAATGCGTCATCGAGCTTTGCGATCCCAGCTGTAACGATATTCAAATGCTGCTCACACTGGACACGAAGTCTGCGTACGCATTCGATCTGGGCTCGTGACAATCGATGCCTCGACATGCATTCGGGTACTGGCCCGTGTCCAATCGCTGCAACGACGACAATAGCCGAGCCATAATAATAGGGAGTATTCACTGGCGGCCATAGCTGTGTGCGCGAATTCTGAGCGCGTGCTGATGGCGAGCTTCCACAGTTCTTTTGCAACGTGCATTCCGCACCATCAAGAGTGCCGGTCTTAGCAGCCTATTGATGTGAGCCCGTTCTGAGCATGCGCTCTAAACAGCACCCACAAATATGGCGTCTAGTGAATACTCCCTATATCTTGAGCTCAGCGCGTGTCCTGTGCTTCGCCAACCCCAGCGCGTGGCTATGATCAACGTTGGCGACATATAATCGGCTCCATCACGTGGCCGCTTGTTCTGGCTGCGAGTTGAGAAGGTGAACACTGCTTGTTTTCCTTTCATTTTTTTCTGGAACTTCTATTGCGTGGGCTGAAAAACGAACGCGTGTTTCATAGGTCATTAACGTCAGGGATCCGTTTTGAGCGGTATTCGCGCAAAGTACAAGAATTGTTGCAAGAACCGTTAAAACTAAGTTTGATCAAGGAATGTTATTCAAAACAGCATCGTTTTTTTTTTTTGTGTGTGTGTGTGTGTGTGTGTGTGTGTGTGTGCGTGTGTGTGTGTGTGAGATATGATTTTATTAGTTGATACAACTCGTTTCGCAAATGAGATTTTATTTATTTATTTATTTAATTTGAGAGGCCACAAATTGCATTTTACTATATAAAAACGTTGCCGGTCTCATTCAAACAAATTGCAGCTCGCAGCCGTCGTGACAAATTTTTCGGCTCGTTCACAATGGCATCAAGAAAAAAAAATTAAGCTTTATACAGTTTAGACAGAAAGAATAAAAACACTGAAATAGACGGACATTGGTCACCTTCTGCGCGCTGCCATCTTTGCCTACTGGGCTGTGGAACGAGTACAGAGCATGCGCCGCAGCTCTTTTCTGTGGAATACAAGACGACGCGCATGTGTCCAGAGCCCAGTGACGCGGCATTTTTTGGCTGGGTATGCGACAGCTTGAGATGTTTTCGGTATGCTGGGCCCCTCGGTACGGGTCTTTGGCCTTTCCAGCACACCCCAGCTCTCCTGAGTTGAAATAATAATAATAATAATAATAATAATAATAATAATAATAATAATAATAATAATAATAATAATAATAATAATAATAATAATAATAATAATAATAATAATAATAATAATAATAATAATAATAACAGTTTATTTCCATTACACCTAATGGTGGAGCCAAGAAAAAAAGCCGCACTACGCGGCTTGACGAGTTCTCAGCCCCAGTACATTCTGCAGAAGCGTCGGAAATATCAATATACAAAAAATCGTGCATAATCACAATGAATACAAAAACAAAACAAAAAAACAACAACAACATGAGACTAGAAAACGCCACTGAGCACCATATTAGTTGACATTCGCAAATCAACACAAAACACACTTTTAAACTAAGAAAAAAAAATCCCATCAATCTATATATGCAAAATCATCCATGACAGATCGCAATCCACCCAGGCTTAATCTATCTATAAAGACACCTTTAGAATGCAATACATTTAGCAGCTTTGGGATTCGGTATGCTAACATTTCCTTTCCAGCGTTTAGCCGACACGTTGGTACGTGCCAGTAATCTGGATTACGAATTTGGTATGGTACGATATGTTGTTGCAAAGCAGACAATTCTACCAGGGATGAAGTGTTGTAAAGAAATTCTGTTCTAAGTTTTGTGGATAGCCTATAGTTGTAAAGATTGCGAATACTGAGTATACGATAACTTTTAAACAGGTGTTCCGTGTGCGAAAGATAAGCTACGTTTGCAATTACTCGCAACATTCTTTTTTGAAGCAGGTGCACCTTCTCAAGATTAGTTGTAGTGGTAGTACCCCAAACTAACGAACAATAATTTAAATGGGAATAAAATAATGATTTGTATAATAATATTTTAACAGATGTAGGAAGTAAATACCGATGCCGACATATAATACCCACAGTTCTTGGCAATTTTTTATTTAAAAGTTCAATATGGCTATCGCAGGACATATTCTGAGAAAACACTACTCCAAGTGTTTTAAAATTAACAGTTAATTCGATATTTACCGAGTTTAAAGTAATGGTGTTTATTGGAGGGAGAATTTTATGCTTAGGTCGAAATAGTACGGCTTTAGTTTTACTTGTGTTTATTTTTAAAGCGTTCTTTTTTGTCCACACCGATATCTGACCTAACAATAGGGTTACTTTTGACACGAGTCCCCCAGGATCGTCCGCAGCATACAGAAGTGTTGTATCGTCAGCATATATTATCAACTTAGTTTGGTCAATATTCACAATGTCATTTACATATACGTTAAAGAGAAAAGGGCCTTGTGGTACTCTAGAGACTATGGGTTTTATACTGGATGAAAAATTACTACAGCACACAAATTGTTTACGATTTTCGAGATATGATTGCAACAAAAGCAGGGCTTGCCCGCGTACTCCATAACATTCAAGTTTCTGTAATAATAGCGTGTGGTTCAAATAGTCAAAAGCTTTCGTAAAGTCAATGTAAACTCCCAAAACTAGTTTTCTATTGTTAGTGTTAGTGTTAGTGTTAGTGTTATTGTATTGTATAGACCACATGTTGAAAATTTTGTATATTACCGGTCGCTGTATATCTACTGATGCGGACAAAAAAAAAAAAAACTTTTAGGACAGTCCGCACCAGACAAGCCCAGTGCGACTGTCGGAATCACGTCGTTATCTTGTTTTTACCTAACCATTTGTCAGCGACTTTTTAGTGTGTCGGTTTCGCTCTAAGCCCTCGTGGTGGGTAACGCTCTCTCCCCAAGCAGACAATCGTGATTAAAGTTGATCTTGACGGCACAAACACCCACTGTCTGTTATTGTAAGATCGCTACCAGAGATTAATAGGCGCCTGTGGAGTCTTTCAGAAGCAACAGTCGTGATGCCACCGGAGCGGAGAGCGCTCATGCTCATTCTTGTTTCAATTAAAACGACACCAATTATGAAGACGAAAATAATTATGAAAGTAACGCTAATTTAGATTCATGCTGTTTTAGCGTTCATGCTCATTCTTGTTTCAATTAAAATGACACCAATTAGGAAAACGAAAATAATTATGAAAGTAATGCTAATTTAGATTCATGCTGTTTTATTAGTCGATTTAAAGGAAAACTATAGTGCGTTGAAACTCAAGAGGGTATGGCGAGGATAAGATGGGCCGGGGAGGAGGAAGCAGACGGAATGCTGGAGAAGAGAGGGAGAAACCTCCTCCTCTCTTTAGCGTTTCGGCAGTTTGATACTTTAGACCCATGTTACGGATAAAAAAAAACAAAAAAAAAACAGGACGCGGAATGGCCAAAAAAACGCGTTTTTCCTTTAAGGCTCGTCAAATTATGAGGCGCTGGAGAAATGCAGCCTTCTGCCTTGAGTCCTTATTTCGAACTCTTTTTGTTCGCCTTCCGCCCATTGAAAAGCATGCGGGAAGGGCCTTAGAACGCACATGGTATCGCTGCGCCGCACCGTTCTTCCGCATCATAAAGTTCGTCTGCTTTCCTCGCCGTCACCATGGCAACGAACGCCGAATGAATAGAAGCACGCACGGTACCGCCGCGTGAAGCTTCCAACAGCTGACGCCATTTTACGAACGCCGTCTGCTAGCCGAAGCCGAACGCGGTGTGTCAGATCAACCGCCTCCGCCGGTGCGCCGCTAGCAAAGACGACGAAGCTCAGATACGCCGACGGCGATCAAGCAAGCAGCAACACCGCGGGACGACTGCAACGGCGGCATTTATTCGGATCAAAGGCCGCCTTCGCCGGTGCGCCGCTAGCAAAGACGACGAAGCTGAGGCACGCCGACGGCGAATGGGCGAGCAACAGCACCGCGCGGGACGACTGCAACTGCGGCATTTATTCGGATCAAAGGCGCGAAATACGCAAGAACAATTTTTATTTGCATCATAACACCCGATATTTAAGTTGGGGACCACATACCTTTGTTGGGTCTTTCCTGTGAACTTTTTACAGAGACACGGGGTGCCGCAACTTAGATATCGGGTGTTATGATTCAAATAAAAATTGTTCTTGCGTATTTCGCGCCTTTGATACACCGCGTTCGGCTTTGGCAAGCAGACGGCGTTCGTAAAATGGCGTCAGCTGTTGGTAGCTTCACGCGGAGGTACCGTGCGTGCTTCTATTCATTCGGCGTTCGTTGCCATGGTGACGGCGAGGAAAGCAGACGAACTTTATGTTGCGGAAGAACGCTGCGGCGCAGTGATACCAGGTGCGTTCTAAGGCCCTTCCCGCATGCTTTTCAATGGGCGGAAGGCGAACAAAAAGAGTTCAAAATAAGGACTTAACGCAGAATGCTGCATTTCTCCAGCGCCTCATAATTTGACGAGCCTTGCACGAAAAGCATGTTTTTAGACCGGAGTTTGGAGATAGTTTTTTTTACAACAACATGGGTCTAAAGTATCAATGTGACCTGACGTGAAACTCTCACCCCTGTTCCTTTGGTAACGCTGCGCGCAACTAGAGTACGTGCATCATGATGAATAAGCAACTACGCAACTCGATGTCTAGACCTTTCCCACTCCTTTCTCGGGCGAGCGACGCAGCTGGAGCGGGAGGAATGTTGACACGCAACGCGGATAAGTAGCATCGTCACGCTCTCCAACCCCGTCTCCTTTAGTTGTGGTGATGTTTCCCCGAAAAACGGCATGCCAAGACGCCACCACGCCGCTGGACCAGGGGCGAAATCAACTTGTCAGCTGGTTAACTGTACCGTATCTGCAGTTTTTGAAACGCCTTTTTTTGACGTTGTATTCTGGGAAATACTACAATAAGAAAACACTACACACGCGCGCGCGCCACGCTCTTTAGAACGCTTTTTTTATCAGCCGAAATTTGTTGCGGGTGGAGTATGTGGGCAATATTAACTTAAAAGGGGCAAATTATCAATTAAAGGGATACTACAACGAAATTTCGGCGCTCATTTTTTGGTCTATATGTGTTCAAAAGAGCAGTATCACATGGAACATACCAATACCTTGTTAAAAAAGTCTCGAAAAGGAATTTTAAAACGAATTAAACGATTAGCAAAGAGCACCTGGTGGATGTCGCTAACGCCTCGTTTGTAATGCTCGTCTAGGAACCTTGACAGCTAGTGACGGAGGTTGTCTCGTCTCCGGCCACGACGAGAGAAGGGGGGAAGGAGGAACTCCCCTCTTCCCGAGAATGCCTTTTGTGTGTCGCAGAAGTCGCTATTGTCCGCCCAGAAGATTATAGAAGATTAACCCGTCTCTCAAAATTCGTACAAAAGCAGCCGCTTCGGTGGCTGGAACGACTAGGCCATCCTCTCGACGTCAGCCTCGCATTAGCTTTGCTCGTCTTGAGACGACCTACGTCACGATTGCGTTGGATGTCACGTGCTCTAAGCTGGGCCTTCTCCGAGCGCTTGCCAGAGTGGGCCGTTTAGAACGAAAAATACAGCCACCAGGCTCAAAATACAAACGTGCGATTGTCATTTACGGATATTGTGGATCATATTCAACCTATTTTTCAACACGACGGGAATATTTCAAATTTCGTTGAAGTATCCCTTTAAGAGAGGCCCGAGTAAAGACCCGTTTACACACTTGCGTTTGAGTACGATAGACTTCGATTCGAAAGCGGGATGCATGCATGGTCCTCTTCTGGCCCCGCATCCCGCATCCTGGGGCTCCCGACTTGGCGAGGATTGCAGCACATGGCTGCGCCCAGCCGATGCACGAACCTTTGAGCAGCTCTCTCTTCTCTATCCATCCCCGCCAACTCGCCTGTGGCGCAGCGCCACTGCAGCCGCACGCGGCGTGCGCGGTCCCCAGTACGGCTAGGGAGCTTGTATTACAGAGTGTCCAACTTCTCGATTGGGGTCACGTGGTTCATGAGCCTCCTTTGCAATGCCATCTGCGAGGAGGTGGCGAACGTGTCTGCCCTTCCGCCTGCTCTTGTCCTCACCAACGCGACAGCGCTGCGCACGCGCACTCGCGAGCGATTGGCGCGGGAGGCGTCCGCCATTAAATTGCAAACGCTCCTCATGGTTTGAGATGGATCCTCTCTAGAATCTCGGCTCTCAGAGCGCGGCCAGCGCGGCGAGCGGCTCCTGGCGGCCCCGGCGCATCGGCGCAGCGAGCAGCAGAGACGAGGGAGCCGATCCCGACGACGGGGTGCCGACGGCCGACTGGCTGAGGAGCGCCGACCGACGAGCGAGGACGATCCCCGTTCGAGCGTTGAGCCGTACGCGAGCAGGCGTGCGGGCCCTCGGGGGCCGCCAGGACGGATGTGCGCTTTCTGATGCGCGGCGTGACGAGCAGAGATGGCTTCTGCCGAGGCGACGTCGCCCGCGCCCAACCTCCCGCCGGGCGAGCTGGAGTGCATGCGGGAGCGGAAGTGGTGGTGCTTCCTGCTCTCGAGCATCTTCACTTTCTTGGCGGGCCTCTTCATTATCCTGATCTGGCGCGCCTTGGCCTTCCTGTGCTGTCGCAAGGAGAAGGCGGGCGCCTACAGTCCCGGAGCCCCCAAGCAGCAACCGCCAGCCGGCCAGCAGAAGAAGCTGCCGGCTCCGGGCGGCGACGCCAAGCGCAAGGCCGGGGAAGGGGCCGCCGAAATCGGGTTCATGACGGAGGCCAAGGATTGGGCAGGGGAACTCATCTCGGGACAGACCACCACGGGAAGGATACTGGTACGTGCCGCCGTCTCCTTGCTACGCATGCCCCGCCACGGCCGCCGCCGATCGCTCGCGCCAGTCCCCGAACCCCGGGTCCGAACCCCGTGTTGGAGCGCCAACTGCGTTGATCTCCGCGTGACGCGGGTACATGCAACGCAAGCTCTGCGCCAGACTTGCAGTGACGTCCAAGTATAGACGCGAAACGCAGACGGACTCAGCGGCACTGACCGCGCACTAACGGCTCTCCTGATATTCCGCAGCATCCGCGTACTGTTTTGTTGTTTTGTTTACGTACGTTATTATCGAGCTCCGGCAATACAGGTGCCTCTCACATTTTTTGTTTGTTTGTTTGCCCCTGAAGATCTGGGCATTTCGTCTTCAGATGGCACGCGCAGATGCGCGGCTCCAGTCATCGAGGTTCGCAGTCCGCGCGGCAGAAGACGGCAGCGCGCGCAAGGCCGCCGTCTGGGTCCCATTAGGCCTAGTGCTGACACACTTGTGGCACCATCCCGCCAGCGCGTGCGCTCACCTTCACGAGGGTTCGCACCCCTACGCTATTCCCGTGTTCGCGGTCAAGAAACTTCCCTTCTTTGAGCCATTCTTTGACAGGGACGCAGAGAAACTTCGGCTCGACAACGCTGATCGCTCTTTTTTAGCCGGGCGCTTGAAGACTAGTATTTAGTATTGTTTGCAAATTTACTATATGATGTAAAGCACGTCGCTCTTGATTAATGATTTCTGATGCTAAGGCTAGGTAAATTATTGGATGCGATGATTGACACGCTTGTCTAAAAATGCAAAAAAAAAAAAAAATCAACAAAAAAATGTAAAAAGTAGTAAATTCCTGTAAGTCATTGTAGGGGAATAGCTAGACTATACAATCACCTACTGCAATCATCTTTTTTTTTTCATGAAACGAGAGCAGCGTTAAGGGGACAGCTACTTGATCTTCGCACAAGACGAGTTAATTGTTTTAAAAAGCGGATTCGGGCATCTATATAGTTACTGTCTACAAGTTTTTCGCGCGACACAAGGGACAATCACAAGCTAGTAGACACGGACAAGCGCACCTTTCCACTACTTTATTCGTGCTCGATCGACCGCGAACATCCAGAAAGAGCATGCGCAGCACGCTACATAGAAGGAAAAAGGAAACAGAAAAAAAACTTCTAGACTGCATCATGAACCAACTCGGCCAACAGCAAGTTTTAATTGACTATATAGTTACAAAGCAGTAAATCGGGAGCTGAAACAAGCAACGATAATTGCGATGAACAATAAACCAAAAAATAATCTAACTGAAACGTAAACTTGTATTCGCTACGAGCGTTACACAGATGCAGTTGAGTTTTAAGCATTGATGGATGCTGCAGGGCATGACTTCCATTGTACACCGTGCCACGCTCGCCGGAACTGATAGACGGGGAACATGAAGCTGCCAGTGCGTTATTTTCGATGCGCTCTGCAATGGAGCATATTACATTTATGCGAAAGTTCCCTATTGAATAAAGTAATTGCCAGCAGCCCATATGAAACTACATCCTTGTCACAGGGTACCCTTAACCGCAGTTAAGTGACGCTTAAAGGGGGTCATGAAACGATTTTCCTACTTTCTCCTTAGCTTTAATCCTCAACTCAAATGCGAATTGTGAAATCACGTGGTCGTGACGTTCCTTCGGCACCGGTGCGATGACTCCTAGGTTCCACCGTGCTTTTTATGCACACCATAGAACTTGTCATTCCCCAGTGACAATAAGTTCCGTCAGGGCACTCATTGGCCACGAACGCGAACCCAAATATTCGTCGACGGATTGATTGTTGACGAGCGCATACGTCCGAGTGACGCAGTTCTCGTGTCCAATGCGTGAGCTGGGCTCGGCTGACGTCAGTTTGGCGCCGGTGACGCGCTTTTGGAACCGCGGATGTATCATAGTGAAAAGGCGGAGAGCTTTCGAAGGCAAGAAGGTACAAAATAGTCCGCTATATATTCAAATGTTCGTACCGAAAAGCTGCCTTTTGACTTTCTAGCCTCTTTCTTTTGGCCGACTAAACGATATGCGATTAGTAAAGTCCCAATTTAAAATCATTCATCCCAACCCAAAATTCGTTTCATGGCCCCCTTTAAGTGCAATTTGGGCGCTCAACTGAGATGCATGACTGCATAGCCAAAGAACGTTGTTCAAGAGTCTACAGTGTGGTAACTGTGGTTTAACGTAACTGCAGTCAAGTGTGGCCCGTGTAATGGGGATATTAGAGGTTACCACCCTGGTCAGGTGGCACCATTTACCGCCTTATTTGACGTGTTCAGTCCTGTCGTTCTCTCCGACGATTGCAGACATGCTGGATTCTTCCAGACAGGGTGCTTGTATTTGAGCGCTTCCGCGGAATTTGTTTGCGGCGAAAATGCTCTATGTTCTAGAACGCTTCAGCCTCTTGTAAACTTATTGCTCTACAAAACTGCACCATATGTTTGAAATCTCAATAAACGAAGAAACAAAAATAGTTGTTTTACGAGAACACAAGTTGAGTGCATACCTCTTCGTTAGCGGTCCCCTCTCTAGTCTCTACTACCATTCTTATTCTAAAAAAAAAAAAAAAAAATGCGGCTTGTATTAATATTTAGGAAGCCCTTAATGTGCGCAAATTTCTGTACAAAAAAAAAAAAAAAAAGAAAAAAAGAGGTATTGTAGCAGTTAGCGAGCCGCAGCGAACAACTGTTTCTTCGGTTGTTTGGGCCTTCCGGCCTCGTTTTTTTTCAAATTTACTTTTCAATTGGAAGTTCACAATGACAGCGCACATGTGGGGCGTCGAAGAAACGAGACTATCGCACAAGTAAAAGACCGAACCGATATCAAACATCCCTTTCTTTTTCTTTTTTTTTTTATCTTGTGTTTGCGTATGTTTTGCGTTTTCCTATTATTTACCTTGTCGTCACTCTTTTGCCATCTGTGTATGTCATTAGATCCCCCCTCATGTAATGCATTTCATCTGAAATGCCTTTGAGGTACAATAAACTGAACTGAACTGAACTTTGCGCGGTGGCGTTTTGAAATATTAAAACTAAAAAGAAGCCACCTGACAGTGCACAAGGCGCGCGGGTGGTCGCCTAATATTATACACCTGCATGTCGCCCGGAATTGGCGATACAATTTTGAGTTTTTCTACGAAATATGTTTTTCTATGAAAATGGAAAGTACGGACAAGGCGCGGGACGCGAGGCAAGCGTTTTCGGAAATCAAAACATTCCCCCTTTTTTTTTTTTAAGGAAAATTATTAAATGAACGATGTCTAGCATATCTTGCACGAGCAATGACTCGATGCCCTGCGGAACACGCTGTACTTTTTTTCTCGAAGATAATCGCATTTCGGTGCAGAATAGCATTGGCTCTGATATCGTGAGCGTCTGCAGCGCCCCGTAGCCTGGCACAATGGAAGCTTGAACAGGAAATCCCAAAAGATATATATGATTGTGCTACACTAGAAAAGAACGTGGACGGGAAGGAATACACAATGTTTCGGGCGGACGCCCTTCTTCGAGTGACAGTCACGAAAAACGGCAAGGAACCAGTAAGGGAGTACACACACGTAAAAAGAATGGGGGTAGGTCCACTGGTCGAAAGAGGGAGGGGCGAGGTTCATCGCATCTTTTTGAGCCCCCTTCCACGGCTTTGCATGTAGACCGCCAGGCGCTCTGTGAATATCTGGTTCGCTTGAGAAAGCTGACGAGCTTTCTGATTTAGCCGTCAGGTGCCGTCGATTTCGCTAGAGTCGCCAGTGTTCGTATTCACCTCAGGAACCGCAGTGGAAGAGAAGAAGTCAGGCTCCTCGTGGAGGCATTCCTTATTTCCACCTTTATGTGGTGAATAACGATTTTATTTATTTATTTATTTATTTGCACATACTGCAAGTTATCATTTTGCTGCCAAGGCAGGAGGGGGCATACACAACTGAAATGCGCAGGACATAAAGAAATAGATACAAATGAAATAAGTAACAATAACTAAACTGTCAAAAATGAACTTGCAGAGTAACACCGAAGCGCTGTCGAAAATTCTTGAATGGACGAGGCACGCGTTATGTTAGCGGGAAATATACGGCAGATAAGCTACAACAATCGGGTTTTCATGCATACTGCTTGTCTGACGTGAGGTACTGAATTTCATAAATTGGTTAAACGAGAGACGCAATGAGTCGTGAATAATGGTATATAAAAGCTTAGGCGATTCGTCCCGCGACGACTGGATATATGGAGGTGCATTTCGGATGAGCTGTATGTTATTTTACCGCGACAAACACGTTTTAGACGCCAAAAGTGTCGTTTCTCCCCCGACGTTTGACCAAACAGCAGCGCATGTGGTGCCCACTTCTTTGATCGTTAAATAAATACGTTTCAAAAGCAAAAGCCCCGACAACCATTGTAAGTACTACTTCACGCAGCGCATGCACTCACAAAACTTTTTTTTTCTTGATCCGACAACAGGAGAGTTGGCCCAGTTAATCCACTACCAAACTCCTGCGCCGCGAACCAACTGCGCGTGCTGACGACACGTTATGCAGTGATGTGATTGCTGCGCCAACATTTTTCCTAAGTATGGGTAATCTGCGCCAAGCCTGCGCCAAAGGACCAATTTCGGTCGCCTTTCAAAACCGAAACCAAACTAAGAACGTAATTGAGCATGCGTGAGTTAGGTGGCGCAAGCGGCCGCCCGACACAAAGTACCCTGCATCCATCCGGTCTTGCATGGTTTTTGCCGCCGTCTCGCGTTTCGCGCCTCGTCGTCTCGGGAATCTCGTCTCGCGTCTTTTTTAAACTTTTTCAATGATAGACGCGGGCGTGTGCGAACGCTCCGACGCTAGTGTGCCGGGTGCCAGACATGCCGTCATGCTGTGAAACAAGACCAAGTTTATGCGCGACGAGAGTTGCTTTGTGAGCTGAAACGCTGGTCGCGCGACGTCGGGTGTTGCCGTCCCCACGTCGCTGCAGATATGATGCTTTCTAAACTTGTTCATCGACA